AAAAGTAGAAGGCGATAACCTAAGTTTAGCCTTCATTAAAATAGCCTATTCCATTACATGAAAGTTAGAGGTCAAATATAAATTAAAGGATCTACTGAGCCCCTGGAAGCTTGTTCAATTCTGGAGGCATTGAGGGGGCCGTAAAAGCGAGGGACCGTAAAAGGCAGGGGCTCAAAAGAAAGCTCAATTGACAAATAAATTTTGAATCTAAACTCATAAAATCAGGAATTCTAAGACAAAAAAATGATTAATAGAAAATATGCAAATTTGGGATCCTATATATATTTATTTGTGCTAGAAATTTTTTTCTTTCGAATAGTGAAGTTTCTATCTCAATGTTTTCTTGTACTTGTTTCTTATTGCGTGTTTCTTGATAAAGATGAGTGTACTTCTGTGAAGCGGAAACATAAGTACCAAGGGCATTGCCAAGACTTTAGCAGGTATTGTAGTTGCTTGCAGGAAGATGCTTATTTGTTAGAAATACAACTTCAGATTTACAAATGAATTAAAAGCTTGTTTGAAAACGTTACCCACCTAGCTATGCTTGGTATGTACTTCTCAGAAGTTCAAATTTCTCACTGCTCATAAATCTTCAAATTCAAACGGAATGAACGCATTCCGAAGGAATTGCCAAGGCTCTTAGAGTTTGTGACAAGTTGCATTTATCTACGAGCAGTTTTGATACGTCATCCTGCTTCATACATCAATGTGTATTTCTAACAGATACATGGATGTTTGAAATATTTTGATAGATAGTAAGGCATCATCCATGTAAACTTAGTTCAGGATTATAGCAAATACAAAGAGGCTTCCCACGGCTCCCCTTTTGCCACTGTTCAAAAGCAATGTCCTAGAACTCACCCTGGCTAATGCCAAAGAAAAAAGCTTTGGCTGAACAGAAGAAAAGCCAGCCGATCGTCTTAGTATTAAACTAGCGAAAAGCTTTGATCATCAAAGCGAAATCCAAAGTTTTATAAAACACAGTTGCTTAAGTGCTTGTGCTTTGCAAAATTTTCTTCAGTAATGATTCATTAAAACAAACAAAGAACGTCAAAGAAAGACAGTAGGACTTTATGTTAAATGTATGAATGGGAGGCTAAACACCAGATCTATGTGCTTAAAGTAATGTCGACGATAACAAATGTATTTAAAAAGATTTTGAAGAACCTGCCCGCACAATTAATACATAAAACATGCGTTTTACGTAATTGCGCACATTTTATGTTTATGATTTAGACCCACAGTAGCAAACAATCAATTTTGTTTCACTAGCAATAGTAATTTTTTGTAGATAACTTATCGATTATTTGCATGAATACATCAGGTATAATTCACGTGCAAGAGTTTTCTGCTCTTATTTTGACCGGATCTAAGTTTCTCCTCTGCTATTCAGACGGAGATTTTGACTTCGAAATACATCTTTGCAGCAAAAGAGCCTATTCCTGGAAGCTTTGATAGCAAAACTACGGTCATATATTATGGTTTACTCTCTGTCATGTAATCTTATTCGTAGTCACGAATAACTTTGTGTTTGCATTATTTCTAACTTATCTTGGTGGATATTTGGTTTGTCTGATGTCATCAAAGCATTAGTATCTTCAGAAATTCCTGATTGCAACGGTTAAAAAGACCGATATTTTAACAAAGGTTAAGCGAAGATTGTTGATTTCTACATTTTATTGTACACAAAGAAATAACTTTCAAAGGGCTTGATTATTGTTTTAAACTAATCTTGAGTTGTTTTTATCAAGCTTTGGTCATCGGTTTTCTGGATTGTAAGCCAAGAATTTAATTCTAAATAAAATATGAATCACTAAACAATATATTTTCTAAGGTAAGAATCGTAAAGATTTCTTCTACCAGTTGCAAGGCTGCATTCAAAGGGACCGAAAAAAGAAATTTGTTGGGTTGAAAGGGACCTTCAAAAAGAGTAAATTCATATTGTGGATTTTCAGAAAAATTTCAATGGGAGGACAATTATTTTGCGAAAATAATAGGCAAAAAGTTATATGGCTTTTATCAGATTTAAGCCAAGCAAATACTTCATTATGAATGCAAATTTTCAGAAAATCATTAATAAAATCAATCCATATAGAGCGGGAAAATGTTTTTAGCTTCAATTCTATTTCTGCCTAAGCAATAAATTTTATTGTCCCAAATTTTTCAAAGAAGGGCATGTCTTCCACCTTCAAATATATCTTCCAATGTAATTAAGCTTTTAATGCACATTTTTTGTAAGGAGAAGGTCGTCTAATTGTGAAATACGGCTAATGCTATTCCTAGCCATTCTCTAGAGCCAAGTGTTTTGCTGGCCTACTGCAGAGTTTTCGAATTAAAACTGTAATTGCATGGTTTTAGCAAGCTATATTGCACCTCTACCCTTCTCCCCTTTTCTCTTCTTTTCTCTCTTCTCCTCTCCACTCCTCTCCTCTCCTCTCCCCTCCCCTAGTGACCGGTTTTTATCACAGCCCAAAAATAACGGCGGTTCCTCGAAACCACTCTAATTAGTTGCGCTTAAAAGAACCTTCCAACTCCGTTTTGGTAATTAGCCCACTGATCTCAAAATCATATTCCAAAGCATTAATTTACATTGTCATCCCATCATGTATCTCGGCACAAAACCATCATTTCATTTTATATAAAATGACACTGAGAATTAGTTTGAATTTAAAGTTCAGAAGAATAAAAGGTGAATAATGCAATCTTTTGGGTATTCATTAGAACAGTTGTAAAAATTGAATGATCGATATTTTTTATGGGCTTAAACTAGGAATTTAAAGCTATATGCAAAACTCTGAGCAAAACTTGTCTTGAATTGAATCGTTTCAACCAAATTTTCTCAAATCAACCCAAGCCTAAATAATTCCGAAAAAGCACTAATGGAAATTTGAATTTTTCATAAAATTGAAATCAATAACTTTGCAGAAAGATTAATTTTTGGTTTTATCTTACAGCGTAATTTCTTCATCAAATCTAGGTCAAAATGGACGTTTTACAGGTTTTTGAAGCCTTTAAAATTAGAGCTTGCTAATCTGCTTCAAAATAAAAATCAGCTGGCTTTTCCTGTGGACGGAACATCGATGACACGTAAGCTCAAAGCAGATGTAGAGATGATACAAAATGGCGTAGGCAGAGGTTTTCTACTGCTTCGATCCAACGTTTGGTTCATTTATCAACATATTAAATTACAAGTACGTTAAGCAAAGCTACATTACAAAAATCTGACTAAAATATGCACGTACCTTTACACGCTACTTTGGTCTTGCAGTTGTGTGTGCATCCTTTTAAGAAAATAAAAGACTCTTAATACATCTCACACTTGTCTCTAACCGAAGATAAGTGGAACTTGTATTACCCTCTGTTTGTTTGATATGTTCTTTGCCAAATGTGCTGACGGATATGTGCATTGATTTAATCTTGTCATGAATTAAGGTGCAATACCACAGCATTAAAGTACATCATTTAAACGTGGATTTTTCTGTGTTTAGCCGTTACACGGGGAATAGCTTTCTAATGAAAGGGGATAAGGAAATACAATTTTGACCTTGATAATATAGTTGAACTCTTGGATAGAGGATTCAAGTTTATTAAGATTAACTTTCTGAAGTTGTGTTTTTGTATCCATAAAAATAAAACTCTCTGCTGCTTCCTGCTGACTAGCAATAACAAAAACCAGAAGCAAACGCCTTCATTTAGCAATGACTTTATAAACACCCCCTCTTCAAAGTTCTTTTAACGCCTCCCCTTTTAACCCCTTTCTTTCAAAGAATAACAGATTCTTTGATGTCCAAAGAATTAGATAAATTATTACCGTAAATCTTCAGCCATTGTCTTATCTAGAACAATACTTTCCATCTTTGAAGACCATAATTTATTCGCATCATATTCTCACAGAAATACTTATACCATTGGATGCAGTCAATGCAAATGCATTATAAATTTCAAAATTGCATGTATCTGTAATTTGGGCTGTGCTTTCTATTTTTCATTTGTTTTCTCGAATACTACTACTTCCGTCCCCCTTTCCCCCCCAAACAATCTTGTAAGTATAGAAAAATATCTAACAAGCCACAAGAAAAAGCACACTCCATACCCCCTTTCTTTTTTCTATAGTAAATCAACATTGTTCTTAGGGGGAGAAGGGTTGGCTGAATTTGCCTTTGAAAACCTGCGTTAGTGTTCCAAGACGTTTGGCAGTGATTGTAGCAAATTTAGAGATTTCCTAAGCGATATTGTATTTAGCAGATGCTTTGGCCTTGAGCGATTATACGCAGCTTTGGGAGTTTATTATTATCACATTTGCTACCAAGAGAAGGCTTTTAGAAAAAACAAGTCTGTTTCTAGTCTGAATACTACTAACCTTTGCCAATTTTTTAATTTACAAAAAATAGAGAAAAATTTCTGGAAACCAAAAAATGTTTAATGTCATTTCTTTCTTGAAAGATGTTTCGAAAATAATTTTAGCTAGTTGTAAAAATAGAAGAGAAAATGAGATGAATTAAATGCCTACCTGCCGGTAGACCGTTGCAAATACTTTAATTTGAAATATGTCATTTTATAAAGCATATTTTGATATGTTTTTTAAAGAGGGTAGAAAACTTTCAATCTATCACTGTATTTGATCAGAGGATTTTAGAAAATAATTCCAAGAAAACTTCAAACAATGAACTTTCAACTGAAATAGTCAGTTTTTAATAAAATCTGAATCTTTTTAGAGTTTTTGCTTTCTTTTCAATTTATTGTATAATTTCTTACCCCTTCATTATTAATAGATCGATCTAGCAAATTGCAGCGTATTGTTGCCTGGAATGTCGAGCTTGTGCGGCTTAAGGAATCTATGAAATCCTTTTTCAAAGCCTAGAACCTAGCCGCATTTTGCTAGTACTACGGAATATATTTGCAAGGACTCCTTTGCTTTTTTTATGGAAGTAGAACCCTGCTCATAGTATTTTGATGGCAAAGTAAACAATATCGTAATTTTAGATATTTTCAATAACCAGGTGCAACCACATAAAGGTCATAGTGGACAACTCTGGTGCAGATACGTAGCAAAGGAAGGAAGGATAATGCTGATCAACCAGCTACAATAGTAAGCTATTATCATATGTTATAAAAGTTTTGATAATATTTCTAACATTAAGTGAAAGCTTAAAAAAAAGGTTCACGTGTAAACTTATCGCCTAAACCCCTTTTTTCTACCTTAGTATCCCCTTATTTGTACAATCTGCACGCCTCTGAGATAAATCATGTATAAGTCCGATTTATGTGTACAAAAGATTATGGTATGACCGAAATACATTTAGAAATGCTTAGATATTTGTGCAATAGAGTGAGGGCTATTGTTGAAGTAGTATCGTACATAACAGCATTTTTATAAAGGGATAAAAATTACACCCGTCAAACGTAGCCAGGAAGCGAACATGGTATGGCATTTTATATGCCTATGATAAATGTGAATCATAAAGCTAAGAGAAAATGACAACAATAAGCAATAAATGCGCTGTGCTTGCCAATTTAGCTTTATGATTTACCCTTTACATGCAAATACGTAAAATATTGTTGCCAAATAAGTGCCAATAGGCCTAGTTGCATCACTGCTTTCTTTCTGCAAAAAACGTTGCGCATAAAACAGAAAGTAATGTTAATTATTACACAACTGAAGATTTTTCTTACACAACAAACCAAGATTATGATACTAACCAGAAAGAAGCCTTCGTACCTGGAATTTTCTGTTTAAAGTTGATGTCAGTAGGATGCTACTTCGACAAAGCAACAGTGCGTCTGACTAGGATCAGCTCTCACACGAATAAATAAACACGATTTTGCATGTCTAAGAGAGAAACAGTGCAGCGAATTAAAAATCGTCGTAGGAAAGGATCTCTTTTAATTTCCTGCTAATGAGAGAATTTTCTCACAGTTTTGATTAGCCAGCTATCTCTCAATTCTAAATCTCATTTTAGAGAGGATCTTGTATACTTGAAAATCCACTTTTCCTTCTCTCTGATCTCTATCTACTCTTGCCTGATTGCAGTATCTGAATTTCAAGTATAGAATGAAAAGATCTGCCAAATATGTGTAAGAGTAATGAAATTTAAATTGAGATATTCACGCTCATAGTGTAGCAAAATGTCAAGATTTTGCATCTTTTACCAAATTTGCACTTAATTCTGTTTAATTCTCGTAAGCAACAAAACACCCTTACTAAACCTACGCCGAATCAGATAAGCAAAACGCAAGGTTTTCGAATCTCGTAGGAAGCCTTCTGATAATTTTTTCATGTTCTTAAACCCTAAAAAGATCTGGAAATACGTATTGTGAATATCTTTAATAATCTTTCTTATTTACGGATTCAATGCTTCAAATATAAGCAAAGTCATTTTTACAATTACGAAAGCAGAATAAAGCCAGGATTTCTAGCTAGACAATCTGCTAAGCTAAGTAATTACCCCATATCAAAAGACACTGAAAAACCAATTGAAACATTCAATGAAAACTATCACCAAACAGAGTATCACTTGAAGTGGCCCATTCTCCTTATTTATAAATTCTTCTTATGCCTATCGATGATGAATTAACGTTTAATCAGAACCGTTCTAACGATGATTTGAGCATAGGTTCCTCCAACAGATGGTTGCCAACGTAAAAATTCATCTTTAAGCCAACAGAAAGATTTGTGAAATATTTATGCTCATCTGCTTACAATTAACTCTTGATTGAAGATTGAGGTCTTTTGCGATTACAGAAAATCACGTCAAAACACGAAAATAAATACTCTCTTTACAATTCGCAATGTTCTTTAAGTCAAAGATGCGGATTTTTTATTTAAGCGCTTCCTTCTGTTGACCATAAACTTCCCTCTACTCTTCATTTGGATCTCATCTTATCTATCATTTTCATAAACTATAGAAGTAAAATAATGCATTGGAAAATTGTATTAAAAATGGCAAATATTTTACATTGGAAAAAAGCACTATACTGTACTTCCATTTGGACTAATTGCCTCACAACCGTGATTACAAACTACCGATTGAACTCCAGTGATCAATAAAGCTCAAAATTTACACAAATATTTTGATTTGGCGCTTTCAGATTTGCAAAAATATTATTTCATGCTCTTTCGATAATATGGGGCTAATAGAAAATTTTGATAATATGAGGCTAAAATGACGTCATTCTTTTTTGCGGTGCTTTTCCTCTTCTTAAATTCTCTCTGCGTCCCTGTATGAACATATAGGTGCAATATATGAAATATGCCATAAAAAATATAGCAAGCACATTGAGTTAAGGCAAATAGTTTCCTAAGAAGAAGCTCTTTCCTTCTCTGTTTAGCTGTTAAAGCTAGTTTGTTTGGCTATTTATCAGTGAGAATGCTATTGCTGTTATTCGAATACAAACAGCCCTTTCATGTATCGTGAATGTTATAGCGAATGCTACTTAGAACAGGAACATGTGATTTGCAAGAGAAAGATGTTTTTTCTCTCTAATAATTGCAGCCTATCTCAAGTGTAAAACTTACTTTGATAGAAGCGAAATGCTTACTGGTCAGCACGGCTGTCCTATGCTAACCAAAGCTTTCTAGCATCTGCAAAAGTTCATCGTAGCGCCCAACCCCATTGGGATAAGCATTACTACTGACAAAATTATTACATTTAGCTAACTGTTTCGTAGAATTGTTCTTTTACTATTCAAAAATCACATATAACTAGTAGTTTCATAGAATCGTTAAAGTCTAACTCCTTGAAAACATTTCTTTCCTGTTATCATTGTTACCTATACGGTCACTTCTTAGGAGAGACGTTCATACTTGGCTAGCATCAATTACATTTTCAAGGGGCGTGTAATTATTAAAAGTCAAGAAGGAAATGTTTATGGAATGAGACATGAACATGTAAAATAGTTTCAATAGTTAATCGAACTTTTTGCTACATTCAAACTACACTTTGACAGAGATGGCTCAGTGCATTGCACGTTGTGTGGCAACTCAGATTTGCTAAACTGCTTGAATTGAATTCTGATAGAGATGTCAATCTTATCATCGTCATTGGCGACAATAACTTACCTAATCCAACTTATATGAAAAATGTGAAATTACTGGCATAAATCAAAATTCTCCTGCAACCAGCTGATTTATCCCTTTCTTTTACCTGCTACGGCGTGGTAACCCTACAAATCATAAGTCCATTGAAAACAATTATTTAGAGTTCTGCAAGTTTCTGTATCATAATTATTTCTAGTTTTGATAAAAAACAACATTCCAGTCTTTGATAAATCTGTATTGACTTCATCATTAATTCCAAGACCACGACATTTTTATCATGATGGGCGTTTTAATAACAGGATAAGTTTTTCATCTTGATACGTGCGGCGCTATTCAAGCAACATAAAATGAAGTTTATAGGATCAATTAGCTTCTGAGTAAAATGTCTAACTTGACTATTCAAATATATCAAAAATTGCTTCAAGAACAATAATCTTTTAATGCAAAATGAAACTTGTTACTAAAAAGGTTTAAGTTCATATTTGTCATCATATCTTATTATAATATGTTTGCTTTTGTTGTTTATATTATAATATGTTTGTATTACAATAAGTTGGCTGATCAGATTGAATTTGATTTTCACACTTGCAAAAAAGCCACCGTTCCAAAAAAAACTGCTTGAGAAGTTGCTTGCACAAAGAGAGAAAAAAGATGAATTACTATACTAAATAATGAAATGGATAAAAAATTCTAAAAAAGACCTTTCCAAGAGTCTGAAGGTCGTGGCCGAGAAAATTTGTTTTCCTCCACCCCAGTTCTTTTGAGCTGGCGACGCCATTGGAGGTAGCACTCTATCAGTAAGATTACTAGGAAGTTTTCAAGGGCTTGTAGAATACCGTTAGGAAAATTCTCAATAGTCTGACCATAAGAAGTGCCTAAAACCTTTTTTATTTTTTCTGTTTCTGTACTATGGGTATGATTAAAGATATTTCATTAATGCTATTATACGCTTGGTTGCATATCTTTAAAAGCAGTCTCTGATAACTCAATTTATATTAGTCATCATAAACAAGACTTTCAATTTTAGCAGCTTTCTTTGGTAGCTTACTGGTGGCCCCTGCAAGTTAATGCTTTTCTTTCATAACTAATCATTGATGTTCTTTGGCTTGTTTTGAAGATTCATCATTCAAAAAGGGAAATTAAGATACACCCCCTTACTTTTTCTGTCTTCGCAACTTTCGGAAGATATTTCAGATTTATGACATTGTAATCAAGGCTCTCTAATTAAATCTTCTGTGCAATCCAAGAAATCTGGATGAATCGATTCGTTTGTTAAAATTAAAGAGATGATCGAGCAAAAATGTCCAAACTGTTAAAACTTGTATGATCTACCCTGACATTAATGACTTTGCCATGTGCCCAGTTTCTAGGTGCTTTCTGCTTTTAATGGATATTTTTTATCCAAGGATTATTTAATATACACTGGCTAGCCAATTTTCTATCCTTCTAATTCATCGAAACAAGATATTTCCCACTAATTCCATTTTTTATAATTGTCCTATCAGCTAAAGTGTTCAAACTATTTGTTTTTCAGAAAAACCTCGATTTTCAATATTCACCTAAGCTCCAAATGTCCCAAATGCCCCAAATTCAAAGAGAGACGTCAAGATGTACAATGTTAAGGCATAGAAAAAGTTTCCAATGTAGCTTATATTTCTTATCACGTGTAAATTCCCGTTTAAATCTGAGCAACTGCTAGTTGTATCAGTGCTTAAATTGCTCCAGTATTCAAGTAACTTTGAACTTTCCTTCTGTTAAAAGAAACTAGCATTTTGAAAACATCTTTTCGTTGAAAAAAGGTTTTCTTCATGGGGCGATATTATCTTAACTGATAGTGTTTTGGTTGTTGTATAATCGCCTCCAGATCTTCAATTCAATTATTCCTTGTCCTTCTTAGACCCCGTTCACACTGCTCCGTATTCATTATGAAAACGGATAAAAAAGTATCCGTTTGTGCCTTGCGTTCACACTGCTCCACCTTGAAAACGGAGACTTTTGAAAACGCACTTTGAAAACGGAGACTTTTGAAAACGCAAAAACGCAGTGTGAATACCGAAAACGGATATTTTTGAAAACGCTAACAACAACAACAATACAGGAAGATTCTTAGACCGCGCCAATTTGAACAGCTTATCTTAACATGGCTGATTCACTCGAAGTTAGTACACTACTCGGAGTAAAATTAGTGGCAGTGAGCTGTTTAAATGGTTTATTAGCAGTGGCAAGTGCTGTAAACCAGTTCGTGGCATTTACCTTTTTATCCATAGCGGAGCGATGTGAACGCTTCATCGTTTTCATAACGTTTTCAAATGTATCCGGATCAGTGTGAACAGGTAAAACGGATCGATATGAAAACGGATGAAATGAATACGGAGCAATGTGAACATAGCCTTAGTTTAATTCCTGTGTTGATCTAGAAAACAACTCTTTCATTTGTTTCTATTAATATGCCCGAAAACTTTTCATAGCGGATTTATGATTCAATTTTCTTTATTTTGATTAGAGGTTTCATGTACAGCTTGGCACTAATGAAATAACTGAAATAACGATGTTTTTTAAAAACAGTTTCTGCCCTAATCGTCTTAGTATTTGGAATAATCTTAAATCCGTCAATCACCCTCTTTGTCAATTTTCATATCCAGCCAGTTAAGCTTAATATGAGCCAAGAAAAAGGAGATCTTCAGCATTCACGTTCCTGATGGGTATAGATATCTCAACCACCTAAGATTTGGTCTAATTAATTTGAAAGAACATAAATTTAGACATAAGTTTAATGAAAGTACCGACCCGATGTGCCTGTTTAATGATGGTGCAGAAGACACTCCATTTCTTGTTGTTTTGCCATGAACACTCAACACACAAAGGTCCGTTCCTTGACAAAGAATCATGGATATCCATGTTTTACGATTTAAATATTTACAGTTTCAATGAGAATGGCTTATATCACTACTTCTTTGCGGCGATGTCCGGTTTAGTGATACTTCAAGTAAGCATATACTGCTAGAAACCAGAAAAAATTACTGCTACAAATCGACTTGCTTAATCAATCGTATGATCATTGTTTTATTTTTCTTTTAAAGAGCTGTTAAAGAACACAGTTCTAGTTGCCTTGGTGCTTCATGACTGATTCATTTGAAAAGGGGCTTTTCGAGCTTCTAATAATTAAACAGCGATCACGAAGTTGAGGTCTCGTTACTGATGATAAGGTCAACTTGAGCTCCAGTGCCCCCCCAGTTTATAAAGTTTGACATTTGATAAAATCATTGAGTCATACCATTCTTTTACGGCCGTACATACTGGAAACCAGTTGCCTCCACGACTATTTTTGACTCTTTTCCGTTATCGGCAGGGACTGCGCATAAGGTTTAAAGGAGTCGAATTAAAACCAACATGTTCTTTGTGAAATGTTTTGGGACCACGTTCTTCATTATCAAACGTTAACATGGGCCTCAAGTAAAAGGTAATCCGTCTTAGAAGTCAATATAAAAAATTTCTTACAATTTTATTCCAAGAGGATGAATATGAAATCGCCATTTTCAGTTTAGACCTGTGACAACTAGTAATTTGAACGTGTTCAAAATTTCAAACAAATGTTTTGATCTTTAAAGAATTTATATATACTCTTGATTTCGCAAAAGAAGGGGGGATGCTTTTCGCAGTTTAAATCATATATCAAGCAATGCAAGATTACCGTATCGCTTTGTGAAAAACCTACCGATAAATTAAACTATGGCAGCCTTTCCACTAGAGTGGGTTAAAACATATCCGGGTTAAAAGTTATCCGTTTCTGCGTCGCGTTCCCACTAACCTACTTGTAAAACGAATAAGTTTGAAAACGGGTCTCGAAGTGGGTCAGTTTTTACCCGGGTATCTTTTGACCCACCTGCGAGTAAATGGAAACGCCGAAACCCGGATAACTTCTGACCCACTTGCAACAACAGCAACGTTTAAAAATTGAGATGGCGCCAAAAATCAAAAAACAAAATCCTGGATTTCAATGTTGCTTCCATTGGCCTACAACGATGGAAATTGAAGGATTATTGATGCAAATACTGATTTCTCTTAAAACTTTTCACCCTGGATACTTTTTAACCCGGCTTAGTGGGAACGATCAAAAACAGATTAAACAAGGGTCGAAGAAAAATGGCGTTTCCATTGACTCACTTTAAAAACGGATAATTTTAAACCCGGATATGTTTTAACCCAGGCTAGCGAAAAGGCTGCCTATGATACTATGATACCAAGATAACATAACAGAACGATAGCTTTTTATGTTATCTCGATTATACCCATTGAGCTCCGAGAGTTCGTCGTAGGAAATGTAAAAGAAGCCAAATATAATTAAACTTTATATTTTGGTTGCTCTTAAACTTGGAATAAATAATGACTGCCATGTGAACTATAATGGGGGTATGTTTCAGATTGGCTGTGCAAGTTCCATTGATCATCGTTCGATCTAGCAGATTCAGAACCTATCTATATAAAAACGAATAGGCGGAGTAGTTCATTTTCACCCTTGGACTCCATCGATTTTTTCTGTAGGCAAACGCACTTATTGCAGCTATCCATGAGCTCGCGTTCCTGATTGGTCTATTTCCATTTACAGCTGGCTTTATACATTTCAAAGCTTAAAATTTTCAACCATTATCTTGACTTTTTTTTCTCTAGAGACTGTCAGACGAAAGTGCCGAAGAAAACCTTTAAAAGTTTTGCTAAGCCAAGCCAATTTTAAATGATTACATAATTTTTTTTAGTTCTAGCAAGGGTACTATATCAAAGAATCTTTTGAAGAAGTAACTTGTCTCTATACCAATAGCTCTTCTTCCATTACGATTGCCCTTTCCCATGACAACAACTTTTTTGATCTTGGGAGATTTTACAAGCAATATCTCCGTTGACAAATTTTGCGATGCAGTTATATTGAAAGTTATCTGTTATTTTAGGCAGAAAAGTATTGACCATTTCTCTATGTGCCCAATAGCTAGAAAGTTTAGAGCGGGCAAAAGTTGTCCATTAGTGTTTTGGGACACAAATGGTGTAGTATCTTGTGATTTATGGTCAGTTTTCGCATGTCTTTAGCTGACAAAGCTTTCATTCACATGGAAAAGTGTGTGGGCACGAGGTTCTCTTTACCTACTGATGTGATTCCAGCACGAATTAACAGAAGAATGATAAAGAGTCACAGGAGAGCTTTCAATTTGTAAGAAACACAGGGGAATTGTTGAAATGCTCGCTCTGTTTTGGCCAGCTTGAAATTCTTTATTTGACGTCACATTTGGGCCTGTTCTTGTATGCAAGCTTCACTCTATCATTGCCAAGCCCTTTTCTGGTCATAAACTATAAGTTGATTGAATTAGCTTCGAAATTACTCTTACGCAAAATGACGAAGCTATTATTTTGTAGCTGTAAGTTTAATATGAAAAGTTTATCAATCACTAAGGACGCTAAATGCTAAATGGTATAATAGCATTATTCAAGCTATTAAATTAGAAATGACCTTCATGAACACTAAGAATTTAACGCTGTTGTCTCGTGTCTGAAAGTGTAGAATGTGCTGCAGAGCTCTTCTAGCAGTATTAAACAATTTCAAGTTGATTCTTCGTATTAAATATTTCCGCTTCTATCTTAGATTAGCTATTTTCTGCTCGAAGAAGCATTAAATTTTGTTGGGTCCTTTTGCATTACAATAGAAATATCTCATTTAAGCTTTCTGTCATTTTTGTTTTCACGTTTGTACAGTTTTACAAATTAAGCTTATCCTTCATAGCATTGTGCATGTAATATAAGGAAAATTTGACTTTGAAAACTTCCTTTCATTGAAAATGTTTTGGAGAATAATCTAGCCAGGGTTATAATTTTTTTGGTGTAAAAGTTGATTCAAAAACCCAGCCATGCTGTGTGCACATTTGTTGATGATGGGAAAGTTTTAGGTTTAAAAGAGTAGGCCTGGGAAAGCCTGGGAAAGCCTGGGAAAAACTGCATGAAACTCTTTATTCGCGATCCAGCAGGTGAAAATGCGTGGTAACCGAATGCCGATGATTCCAAGGATTGTTTTTTGGCGAAAAACAAACTATTTTGTGCTTGCTCAGCCAAACAAATAGTATGCAAACAACAATTTTCACATCCAATAAATATAGTCTACAAAATTGAAACAATAATAAAACAGATATCAAGAGCCAAATATCTCATTTTTTGGAAAGAGAAAAACAACTTCCAGAAACAGTTTTACGAAATTTAGATAATGTAAAAAATTAGCCGGTCTTTTATATGGGAAAACGTAATATAAAACTAGATCACAGATTCCAGTAAACTGACGATTAACATTTGCCAGATGAACTGTTAGCACTTAAAAATTGAGAGGATGGCTCTTCTAACGCAATATAAAAGAATTACCATGCTTGATAGTAGCTTAGTAATAGGGCAAAACCAACTACAGCATTGCACATTGATGAAATATCCTATCATTGATGTTATCAGTGACGATGTTTTTAAATATTCACCTTGAAGATCTAGGAAAGCTGGCTTCAAGATCTAGAGGAGTAGGTCCAAATCATAGAGGAGCAGTTTCAAGCTCCAAGCATTGCAGTTTGATGCTCTCACCACTATTGAAATTGCAAATGTACAGAAAACAAGTTTTTTTCAAATTAGCAATTGTCAATATTGGCTGACATTAGCACTTTAAATTACCATATGATTGCATGGACCAAATAATCTGATAGGCCTGTGTGGGTAGAGAATTTTCTTCTGTCGGTTTAACAGCGTAACAAACGTCTTAGCCGATGGAATCTAACTTGCATTGGAAGCTTTTATAGAAAACTTATAAGCTGAAACACATGCTATTCTTAGAACATCTAATACTTTTTTAGATAACCAACGTGGTAAAAACTTAACTGGCTTTATTCTGTATCTGCAGATGAGAAACGATAAAGATGTCAGATAAATACTTAAATGGGATCAAGTCATTGGATTTGAAATCAGTTTTTTTCAAGTCTTGTCATTAGGTATTCAAAAAGATGTCATTAGGTATCAATTTTGCTTTTTTTAGTCTTTGGTTTATAAAGAAAGACGATCAACTACTAAGGGCAACAGTTTTATAGCTGGATTTAGTCACTTCTGTTTGTTTGCGGTTGATTCAGAAATCATGTGCCATATTTAATCATTTTGACATTTTTATCAGCTTTAATTATACCAAAATTATTATGCCATTATCTCACTTTCATTTGAAGAGACCACCCATGTCATTGTTAACATTTCTTGTCTTTCGTATTTTTTAATAAAAAAGATAGCATTTCAAAAACGAAATTTGATCAGCAAATGAATCTTAATTCTAGTTCTCTAGTGCTTGTATGCATCAAGCAATGGACAGTTTTACGGATAAAGGACTGGAAAATCTTCTCAGCATTTGTCTTATAAATGCGGAAAAATGGCTTTTAACTAAATCATCATCTAGTGATTCATATTTGTCACATGGATTCATCACTGACAATGTGTTTATTCACTAAGTGGGGCTCAAGAAATCAGTAAACAAATTCAAAGCAAATATTGGTATATACAAAACTAAGCAACTTTCCTTACTGGTTATTTCAACTTAGCTGTTTAACAGAACTCCAATGAATTAAAAGTTCTTTTCCTCGCCTATAATTTCTATATCGAAAATAAGAAGTTCCTTTTTAAGATCGCACAGTTCATCAATTTCCTAAAATAATTTAAGTAGTAAATTCTCTTTATGGATAGCAACTTATATTCTTGGAGGCTAAAGAATTTACATTGCCTTTTCTGAAACGTTGATAAGTCACGCCAGAATTTGACATGTTCTTTTACCAGAATTGTAGTTCTCGGCATTCCGTTTGGTGACGTAAGCTCCCTTGTTGATTTCAAACGTGGAGAGAAAAGAGTTCAAAAGGTTAAGTGATCTTAAGTGGCCCTTACTTTATTGCAAACAGTATCCTATAATCTGATTGTAGGTTTGATATAAAAAGCATGTAGTTCTCTGCAAAAGGAATTTCGGCTTATATCTCAGTAACGTGGTTGCTGCTGTGATTATGACCAACTTCGAATGAGACACTCGGATAAGGAACAATGCATGTTAAGCCTTTAATCTAGTGCTCGATAAAAACAGCTAGATATGATATGATTATTAGACCCGTATTCAAGAGATCATTCAGTCATGCAATCATTTGGTGGTCTTGTGATCTTTGACGCAGCAGTTTGTTCCAAAAGGACAATAATATACAGAAGCATAATACTTCTTAAAAAAAGAATATTATAAATATTATTTGAACTTTATTCTATATTAAAACTGAACTTATATAGATAGCACCGCTGGTCATGAGATTGAATCTTTCAACGGTCCTGTCACCTGTCACCTGTCATATTTCTTAAACCTTGTCCTGGAACTGATACATAAGCATATCTACAAACTCGCCAAACTGTGTATATGACCACTAAGTAACAAACCTGTAAAACCGACATTTACATTATGTAAAAATGTTACCTTGTGATACAAATAAGCGTGAACCGTCGAAGATGCAGCTAAGAATTTTTTTAAAAATAAAGACATTCTTATAGACATGAACTTTAAAAATTATCATTTCCTTCTATTCCTCGTTCTTGCCTCAAGTTTTATTTATGGCATGGTTACTTCTTTCTTACATCCGGTAGATTCAAAGCATTGAGAGGGCTCGGTTCTTCTTTTTCCAACATCTTTCAACATTTTCAAGCGTTTTAACTCATTTCACGAAAGTTACGAAGCGAGGACACAGAAAGATTACAGACAATTACGTAGGCTTCACTTTTTTGCATTGCATCATAATACATTACCCAGTTGAATTTAATAAATAAAGACTGAATCTGTTTAGTTATATTTCTGATACATTCAAATCTAATTTGGTCATAAAAAAAAGCAAGACTTGACGAAGTACAACTTGCAGAGCATAACAATAGCACACTTAAAAGAAACAATATTTACATTTGCTTGCATTGACAAGGACGGATCATCAGCTGTTTTTATGCCTAGATAAGAAATTACCAGTTTGGAGCATTTACGTGATTTCCAAGTTTCGAAAATTCAAAATTTAGCCATTTTAGTCTCGCTAAGCTTTTGGAAACGCTGCGAAATAGCAAAAAATCCACACACAAAATCATCAAGACGGATACAGCAGACAGAGGCTAATGAATCCGTTTAGAAAAATGACATCAAAGATGTCATCTAGTTACTTAAAAGTCGAATGGATTAATCACAGAGCAACACCAGTGAATTGCTATACTTATGTCATGTTTACATGTTCTGTAGCTAATATTGATATTTTAAGGCATATCTGGGGGAATAAGAATCAAAGAATCAAGTTGGGAAGGACTCATTATTGTAGACACCTGAATGAAACGACATTACAACCATCTGAAAAACATTGGAAACTTCCTTTTGAGAACTAACTAGATTATCAAAATCTGTTGCTTAGCTGATATTCTTTACATGTTATTTATTTAAAAATGCAGACAGGTAAAAACAAAGGCAATAATACTATGGGGGGAGGGGGGGTTGTCCTGCTCCATTTCATTCGATCCGTCATAGTGTCTGCAAAATATTTGACATCTCTGATTCATATACTTAAATTTATCACTAACGTAATACCTACTTTATAAATAACTGGACTACGAATTACTAATCCATTTATTTATTTTTGCAACATCTGATTTTGTCAACCTTAAAATTACAGTTGCAGTGTACTGACCATTTCTATCTCTGTAGCTAGCTGTTGCGGAGAGAATGCCAATTACTGAATTTCTTTGCTCTTCACTGTTATCAAACACAGCAGTCCCAGAATCCCCACTTGAGCTTGGGCAGTATTTTGCAAGAATCTGAAAATAGTTTTTGCTACGTTTGTTGTTAACTGGGCAGTGAGTAAATCTATATAACGATCTAGATTTTCTTCCGCGATCTCTTTCGAAAACATGAAATTTCAATGATCTGATGAATCCTTTGGATGCTTTAACAGGCAAATATGGTCGTTTGTGACGACGTACTAATTTCAGTACAGCATAGTCATAAGTGAATCTGCTTGCAGTGTTCGGACGAATTTCTTCCGGGACATATATCTTTTTCACTCGGATTTTGTGCTGTTTCCCATTTCGTCGTAGCAAGCCTTAAAAACAAACAAAATATAAATAAAAAGTCGTGATAAAAAACCGTTTCTAATCAGAGTAGGGCAGACATAGTGAATTCAGATAGGTACCATGTTTTGCTTGATGTCATACTGTCAAGAAGGCGTTCCCTGACCCTAGCCAACCCGTGACTCGTTGATACAGTCAAAGTCCTTGACATATATGACACGAGGCTGATTGGGTTACCCTATCCGGATTCACTAGTTGGACTAAAAAATGCTGCAAGAGAACAGGAAAATTAAATGGAGGTAATGCGCTATTAGATATTGCACGCTTGATTAGTATGTTTTATTGGAGCACTCGCACTATGTCGACGATTCATTTTAAATTATCTGTCTCGAATTAAACTCAAGGATACTGCATAAGATTCAAAATCCTTCCTATTCGTACAGTACCCACTCACAGTGATTATCCATTTTGCTATAGAGGTTAACAATATTTTTGTTTGTCCGATGCAACTTTTTTCTCGGGCTCACATTTACCTGCCATCTTACTGAAACATATGACCCTCTTTCTACCAATAAGCTAATCGCGATTGTCTTAATAACGGGCGTCCCTTTCAGACTCTTTTTACTGGCAACTTTGTTTTGGCCATGCACATCTGCCAAAGTTTGGTGTATTTTCACAAAAGAAACGTTCTCTTTTTTCAAACAGCATTCTTCAGAGCAGTGCGGTAACTTTTGAGTCTCTGACTATCAAAACCTAGTGCATTTTTGCATGAGTCATTAAGTCCTCGTGATATATTGAAATTGCGTTGCCCCTATTTAAGATTCTCGGCGAAACAGTAGGTTTCCTTAATTTGTTTGTCTCTGTGAGACAGCCATCAAAATTCAGATTTTCACTTTCTATTGCTTTGCTTACCATTATGAGAGTAGTTAGTGCGCAAGAATAGAGTTGTGGCACAATCAAGAAGCCAGTAAAGAGGACCCGAGCAAGGTGCAAATGTGATTAGATGATTTTTTTTCTATCGTCGCTAGCGGGCAAACATATGATTCAAATCTACCGTATTAGGAACAAATCTGGCGCCATTTTTTATCCCGAGTTCCCAATCCTTCCGTGAACAAATTAGTTAACGAGCCGAGCGGCGCATGCACCACGTCTGTCTCTTCTAGAGGCGCCGAAGTCACTACCGGGCAAGTGAGGCAAGCTTCAAGGTAAAGGCGATTTAAAAAGTGATTTAATTTCTACAATATAAAAAATTATACCTACTACCAATTCTTTCTCTACTCAAATTTTTATTTCGGTCTGCTCTAGGCATCTAAAAAATGGGCTAACTTCTGTGACATGAAAGACGGCTACATGTTTTTAGTAACGTCGTCTTAAAAATCGTAGGGAAATGGATAAAATGATAAAAGAACTGTGTTATTTTTTCTTTATAATCACGCAGGCTAACGTCGAAGAAACTTTAATGAAGGACATTTCCTCCATTTCTCTCCAATCACAAGACAAGATGGCACCATCCCTCCTGTATCTATGGTCTCCTGAATCAGGCTGCATTTGTACCAGATTAGAGAACGGTAAAAAAGGATCTTCCTAGCTGGGACCACTGACAGCGCCAAATTCGGTCCGTGGAACTTTCCAAAAGAATTTTTTTGTCAAAGGGGCGCTCAGAATTGTTCCAGTATCATACATTGGAAATGAGATAAAAATAGAAATAAAGGGGTGGTTTGGAAATAAAAGCGATAGCAATAGAATTGCTGACAAGTATCGTAGGAAGTTATGCAGAAAGGTGCCACTTCGATGCTTTAATATCCGTCATGAAATGACCTTATACCAAACAGTCCATCATGTCTCTTCAGAACGGCTCTAAATTGAACCATTCCAGGTGTATCAACAGCTTAAATAACAGATGGGTTAATACATGCCAAACAAGGAAAACTCTGCTCTTGATTTGGCTATTTTATCAATTACTTTTCCATGAATTGCAACATTTTCGCAGATTGACAAGTATCAATGAAATTTTTCTAGTTCCCAAATACAGTTAAGTTCAATACAACCCAAGATTTCGAGAACATTTGATTTGATTCTTTTTCCTATACTATGCCTTTTAATGGACGTTTCTGTTGTTTATTCGCGCATAGATGTTGCCCGTTATTTTAGAATATATTTGTAAGAAATTTGGCTACTTTAATTTTGAATTTTTGCAACTACGTCTAGATGAAGCTCAAGAGCTTCCAAGCTTCGATTTGACATTATTCCCATTTCAGCGTTTTTCAACTCCGCAAAATAATTTCTCATAAATAATTTGTGTAACGAGACGAGTGATGTGAATGTGAAAAACTTTCATTGGTTGAGGATTTGCACAGCCAGGATTTAAACGTTTACTATTTTCCGCTGAAAACATCAGATTGCCCACGTTTTGAGAAAAATACTTTGTATTTGACTTTAATCATTTTGGTGATCTTGTCAGTCTCTTGCGTATTTTGAAAGAGTGAGTTAACTAAATTTTAACAGTTACAAAAGAAGCAAAGATAGAAAGAGCTCCGAAACATTTCATTGAGTCTCCATAAGAAGCTTATGGTCAGAGCAATGCGTTTTAATATTATCTTCCTTGACATCAAAAGAGCATCAACTTTCATTAAACAACAAATTGTTTGTTGTTCCTCGCGAGTATTCACAAAACCATTGAAACTCCACAGACACCGCTGTTAAATCGAGAAGCTTCTGATTTCCTTCTTTTCACGGAAGAAGGGATTAACTGTATTTTGGCGTTGATAGAATGCACACGATATTCGTCTCCTTGTGTTCTAATCAAGAAACGGCAAGAATCCAATAGGACACAGTAGAGAGCTGAATTAAAACCCGCATGCCCAATCTTATTCTCAATCAACCATCCTAACAGCATTTCTCCGGCTAAACTGGAATCTAATCTCCTCAAGAGATCGTTCAAGCTGTTTCGATATCAGAATTCTGGCACAGTTTCATATGCACCGCACCATGACCGTTTTGAACATATTGCTACTTTCAAAGTCCAAATGTTGTATCTTGTAACATGGCATAAGGGGGTGGTAAAAATTTCTAGCAAATGGCCTCAACTAGATGTTAAGATTTAGCTATTTTTATTTGGCTGGATTCTGTAAGCTAAACACCAAGAGCTACGCAAAATAATAGAATTAACATGCCATAGTTGCTCCGCTGTGGCAAATAACTATGCTATAATAACGATTCTCGATTATTTAAAAACTTTTTCTTTTGCCTTTTTGTGGTAGGGATTCGTTATTATATTTTCTTAAAGTACTCCATGATTTTTGATGTTGTAATTCAAAATACCTTCAACTGATTAGAAAACTAATGCTGCATTTTTTAGGTCATAACAGCCTTTTTATTTGTGATGAATCAGGAGTTACAATACCAGATAAAAAAATTATAAACCTACCTATTTTAAGGGGACGCATCAAATGGCCAGTACGCAATTTTTTTCCGTCGTGGACGCAATGAGCTGCCGTCAGAACATGCATGGGTGATATAAGCGTTCCCACGCATCCAATATCTAGGGACACTATTGATGAATAAGGTGATCTGCTATTTACATAGTATGGAGGAACCTTTTCCTTGTGAACCGAGCGCCTTGATCGTTGGGGCTTTGGCTCTTTCTGTAAATCTATTGGCACTGGATCTCTGAAAATCCAGTTATTATAATCAGCATCAGAATCTAAAACAGTCTTTGAGTTGTTAGCATCATTCAACAAATTAATTCGCATTATGTGTGACCTACTTTCCATAGTAATAGTTGCAATTATAAGCAATGATGTCACGATACACCATGAATGTCTTCGTATGTGTTTTGCCATTGTAGTCAGTTGCTCTACTCAGAATCTGTATATCCCTATCATATGATCTGATCCCCTTTGTACAGAGTTGTGCCTTTTAATGTATACTGCCATTGGACAGATCCTAGAAATAGCAACATGTTGTATGGTCAAGTCGTCATGGTTTCTAGGTTTGCTAGCCTTCCTGTGAGCAGATGCTCAATGCAACCACATACTATGCCATTTGTAGAAATGATGCCCATAACAAAGCTAAATCACAGCCAGTTGAAACAAAGGTCATCGTAACATCTGAACACCGCCTGCATATTCAACCCCCGTGTCTGTATTGTGCGAGGCCTTGAAGATATCGGTAGAAATTGACCAAGTCAGGAAACACAACACCGGAGGTTGCACCCTAAGAAAAGGTTGATTACGACAAAATTCCATTCATTCCAGGTTTGTGAAGGGGGATAGGTACAGTTGAGATTTCGTATCGAATATGTTTGACTTGTCACTTTGTTTCGCTACCGAAACTATGCTTATAGTATGTGAAGAAACATAGTCTTGACTCAAAATCTAAATTCTTCTGACTTGGGCTAGTACTGCGCTATAAACTGCCTTTTTGGACGCAAGCAGGTCAAGGAAAACTGCCTAAAATCCAAATTTAGTACATTTTCATTGAAACCTTTCTTCAAAGAGAACACATCCAAAGGTAAATAAAGAAGGATTATCCTTCAGAACTTTATTAAAAGTGGTGAAGCTTCATTTGACCTTGTATCAAATGAACAAATAGATATGAGCTGTTAAAAATAAAAAAATATTATCTAGCTCAAGTCAACTATGGAGGAGCGTATGAAGCCCAGCTTTGTGCATGTAGCAATTAATAAGAACATCTTCATTTCTGATCTGACCTCAACTAAAAAATATTGCTGTCTGTGAACTAATAAATTTTCTATAGAGCATTTCAATGCGGAAAATACATAGCAACAAAACAAAAAAGCTTCTCGTGATATTAGACTACAGAAAACTCTAGTTTCCAGTAGGAAATCGTCCATAAAACGCCTACTACTAAAACGATGGAAAGCAGGACGATTGTCTTTTGATATTAATCTTATTGTAAATGTAAGCCTTAAAAAGAAATGTCCGGCTAAGGCCTCAAAGAAAATCCGAGTTCTCATCCTTAATCTTTTGAAATTTTCTGCTTGCAGAGCAGTCATAGAAAGGCCACGTGCCATAGAACAAAGTTGCTCGGTGACTGCTCCCTACGGACTAAATCTATGAACATTGAAGTAATGAAAACAGAGCAAATTTGAAATTGAATGCTTTTCTACGGGATGCCCTCTTGACAAATAGCTATCATAACGCTGCGTTTTCAATGGTCAAATGCAGGGCATACTTCTGTGCGCGCATTTCCATTGAGTAGATTTATGCATAGCTAATCAAAGTATAACTAAAAGACACACCCTCATCAGTTTTGAAGGTTCTAATTCCCTTAAAAAATTCCTCAAGTCTTTCGTAATCCCCTTAAAATAATTTTCATTGCTCAGCAAAAACACCATGTTGTTTAATACAAGATTTTCGACCTTAAGGCGTGTGTTAACCATGAAGAAGAAAAAACAAAAAATTCATTGAAACATCATAGGGTATGTAAAGATACCATCCTGAAAAGAACACTGGGTAAGAATTTTCATGCATGTGGATTGAAGCCCTCTGACGTCACACCAAGGCTACACAGCGTAGTCTTGTAAATAACTGAATGCTTGAGTAACAGGATTTCATTACCAGCTAATAGTAATCCTTGTGAATTACAATTTGTGCCTGAAATCTGTTTTTGAATTCCAAAGATGTTTGGGAGTGGTTTTAGGATATAAGATGTTGTTTATCAAACTAAAGTTTTGTGTCTGGTAAGGATTGCAGCAAATAGAGCTTTTAAAACCAAACAAGCGCTAGAGCGATCGAATTTTCTCAATATTTATGACCAATGGTCTCAAAATTTATCTCAATTATCTTATGAAAGAATACATAAATATATTTAAGATGAAACAGATAGAATTTGTTCATTGTTGATTAACAATTTCTTTCCTAACGTAAACACTTGATTGTCTTATCATGAAGTCAAGTTTCTTCATTGAATTAATTTTCAGTTTTTTATTAATATTCTTAAGCCATTGCTAGGAAAGAAAATTTCCAGCAGTTAATAATGTTCATACTGTTTTTCAAATGAAAACTTTTTAACTAAATGGGGTTTGTTTCCATTTCAACAGAGTTTTTGTTCTAACTGTATATAGTTATGTTCTTATTTCTTTATTTTGAAAGACCTTTCAAGCAGAGTGGAGCACTTACCAGAATGTATGGGAAACCCCAAGTGTGCCAAGGTGATGTGCAAATTAAACTTTAAAAGGTATGTAATGATTTACAAGCACTTAATTATGATTTTTTCTGTTATTGAATATTATTCTGTGGTCTAATTGTGTAAGAAGTCACCAGAAAACTCAATACTTTAGACTCCGATAGTTTTACGCTGTTTCCAAGGAGTCTAATGTCAAGAAGATCTGTCTTACGCAAGAGTATTAACAGGCCACTGTCACAAATGAAATACGTAATGTACATCGCAAATATCGTAGCCAGTGGAAAAGGGTGCAGTTTATAAAAGAAATCGAAAGCAAGGGACAAAAAGGACTATTTTGGAATTACTGCAAAAGAGAATCAGAGAATTCTAGGGTGCTGCTACAGATTTTTCTCTTTTCATAAAATTAGCTAGAATTTTTTTAATGACATGCTCTCTAAGCAAATGATACAATGTTAAAGATTTTATTCACGTCCCATTTGAGGAAATTTTCTAGAGGTAAAATTTCCCGATAAATGCATAAGAAAAATTTAATTCAAAGATAAATTAAAAGTAGCTTTATAATTACAATAAAGATAATGTTTTTACACGGTGACTACATCTAGCTGGTCAATAATCGCGAAAAGAATTGTTCTCCATGGAAACAATATCAACAACTTTTTGAATAGTCAACATTAATTTAAATGTCTGTTGTTATGAAATAGTCACTATCAAATTTAAAATTTATGAAATAAGTTAATTTCCTTTACCAAAGTAAATGCCCAACGGTAAATCTGTAGTCTTCAAACTTCAATTTTTAAAGGCAATCTGTCACGACGTTGATTGATTATAAGAACAAAGGGCTTTTTTATTGTTTTAAGTCCCCCTTTAATTGATCGCATTGTAAAAAATATGGCGGAGCGCTGGAATTGTGTTTAGGCTATTGTTCCAGCTATTTTTCTCTTCAACCAATCCACAACGAGACAGATTGCCTTTAAATGAAATATTTGGAGTTTAGGAATTTTCACATTCATCAGACCCATTAACTTTACCTTATGCCAAAAAATTGTAAATTATTTAGATAAATCATTAAAATAAGTTCTAAATCAAAGATTTCGAATAAGGTCAACAATTCTAAAACAAAGATAGAAACTTTATTCAAATTTGACATATTACAACACATTATACAGATGTTTATCCGTTTAATGTTATTATTAAAAACTTTAAGTAAAAACTTCCATGCATGTACCAGGCCTATAGCCTTTTTGATAGAATAGCAGTTTCCAAAAGACTAAAATTTGTAAAGCAATGCTAAAAGATGGTTCTAGGCAAGATCAAAACTTAAAGGCAAGAGACATTTTTTTTCATTTAATACTTGAATCAAAATGTTTTTCCGTGCAAAATTTCGATCCAGTTTAGTACCATACAGTTTTAAGATTAACATCAAGTAAAGCAAATTAATGCTTTAAAATGGTCAAGAATTGTAAACCAAGGCTTGAAAATGGCTCTAAATATGACGAATCAATTAAAAAAGTAATCAATAAAAAAGTAAGAGCTTTATCAAATGATCGCTTTCGAAAATGGTCAGAATTTGTGAAGCACAGGTAAATACTAGTTCTAAATGTAAACAAACAATTAGCAGAACGAGATGAACTTCAGGTAAGATGCTGAAGGAAAACATTTGGTGAATAAATTCTTTTTTAAAAAGCCAATTCCCATACAAGATAATTCGCCTTAACATGTTATTTAATTCAACTAAAACACAATGGCTCTAAAAGCCTTCAAAACTTACAATGAATAAAGTTTGTCCCAAATCAACAGTTTTCACCGAGAGTTTTCCAATAATTATGAAGCCTTATTTTTTCACTTTAAAATCCTTTTGGTAAAAAGAGAAACTTTTGAGAAAAAGCTTTGATAAAAAAACCTATAAAAATTGAATTGATTCAGACGTGTGAATAAAATTGATGGAGTGAAATATTTTAGACATGATTGGATTGTCAACAATTGGAGTAAAACATTTTAGACAAAAATTTCTGAATAATTATCAAGTCTATTATTACCTTAATTTTTGACCAAAAATAAGCCCTTTGAAGTTTTCAAAAATCTTCGACAAAAAGTTGATCTAAAGTTCTAAATATGACAATATGATAAGAAAACACAGAAATATTCCTTCATATTCAAACTAAATGAAATAGGTAGTTTTTTCGTAGTAATTTTACGATTTTTATCAACGCAAAAAGCCTCGGCAGAAAATTGTGGTGTTTGCAGATAGCAATAATTCAAATCTAAAAAAGGTTCTAAATATGATGTAAAGCATTGAAAGGTAGCAACACATTAAATTCTCAACAACTTTAGCAAAGCAATTTTCAGTCTCAAAGTACATATTTTTTCAACGAACATAGTGCTATGAATTTTTGACAAAAATAAGAACTTTCCAAAATTTTCAAACAAAGGTAAAAAAAGTTAACTTGCTTAAAAAAGCATGATGTCACTAGCTACTCTCCATTTTGAGTGTAACATTTTCCACAAAAGTTTTTTAATTTTTCAAAAGCCTACAATTCTACCTCTTGACAGAAAAGTGTTGTGTCGAAATGAAGTTAAAATTTCTCTACCATTCCTTAAAACAGATTCTAACTATAACAAAAATATTTCAAACGTAGCAGTACATTTGAAACTCAATGGTTTCAACAAAAGCCTTTCCCTCCAAGTTTTGGAAATATTATCATAGCTATTACTTCACTTTTTGTTCGAGAATCGCTATTTCCAAAATTTTTAGAAAAGTCAAAGATTAAAAATAATTAAAGATGTGTGCAATAAATTTATTGGTCAATGATATCAGCCATACCTTTTTCGTTGGAATTTTATCAAACCTATTACCCTATATTTTGTTCCTCAAAGTAAACAACGTTTTCAAGTTCAAAAGATAGTCGATTCAAGAAAAAAATAATTAAAAATGTATTAATGTGCTTGGAAAATAATGCTGCCCCCGGCTAATCTCTATTTTGATTACAACATTTTCCTTGAAAGTTTTTTAATTTTTCCAAAGCCTATAACCTTATCTTTTTACAAAAAATTGTAGTGTTTGGAAATAGTTGGAGTTTTTTAACCAGAGCCCAAAACAGGCTCTAACCATGAGAAAAGCCTTTAAACGTAGCAATACATTTAATTGTCAATGATATCAGCCAAACCTTTTTCGTTAAAAATTTGGAAATTTTATCAAACCTATTACCCTACTTTTTGTAAGTTAATTTTTACTTTTTACTTTACTTTTTGTTTTCAAGTTCAAAAAGTAGTCGATTAAAGGTAGAAATTATCAAAAATGTATTAATGTGTTTAGAAAAGGATGCTGCCCCCGGCTAATCTCTATTTTGATTACAACATTTTCCTTGAAAGTTTTTTAATTTTTCCAAAGCCTATAACCTTATCTTTTTACAAAAATTGTAGTGTTTGGAAATAGTTGGAGTTTTTTAACCAGAGCCCAAAACAGGCTCTAACCATGAGAAAAGCCTTTAAACGTAGCAATACATTTAATTGTCAATGATATCAGCCAAACCTTTTTCGTTAAAAATTTGGAAATTTTATCAAACCTATTACCCTACTTTTTGTAAGTTAATTTTTACTTTTTACTTTACTTTTTGTTTTCAAGTTCAAAAAGTAGTCGATTAAAGGTAGAAATTATCAAAAATGTATTAATGTGTTTAGAAAAGGATGCTGCCCCCGGCTAATCTCTATTTTGATTACAACATTTTCCTTGAAAGTTTTTTAATTTTTCCAAAGCCTATAACCTTATCTTTTTACAAAAAATTGTAGTGTTTGGAAATAGTTGGAGTTTTTTAACCAGAGCCCAAAACAGGCTCTAACCATGAGAAAAGCCTTTAAACGTAGCAATACATTTAATTGTCAATGATATCAGCCAAACCTTTTTCGTTAAAAATTTGGAAATTTTATCAAACCTATTACCCTACTTTTTGTAAGTTAATTTTTACTTTTTACTTTACTTTTTGTTTTCAAGTTCAAAAAGTAGTCGATTAAAGGTAGAAATTATCAAAAATGTATTAATGTGTTTAGAAAAGGATGCTGCCCCCGGCTAATCTCTATTTTGATTACAACATTTTCCTTGAAAGTTTTTTAATTTTTCCAAAGCCTATAACCTTATCTTTTTACAAAAATTGTAGTGTTTGGAAATAGTTGGAGTTTTTTAACCAGAGCCCAAAACAGGCTCTAACCATGAGAAAAGCCTTTAAACGTAGCAATACATTTAATTGTCCAGGGTCTAATTATAATAAAAAGCTTTTAAACGTAGCAATTTATTTAATTGTCAATGATATCAGCCAAACCTTTTTCGTTAAAAATTTGGAAATTTTATCAAACCTATTACCTTACTTTTTGTTCAAAGTAAACATCGTTTAAAGTTCAAAAAATAGTCGATTAAAGGTAAAAATAATTAAAAATGTGTTAATGTGCTTAGAAAAGGATGCTGTCCCCGGCTAATATCTATTTTGAGTGGAACATTTTGCTTAAAAGTCTTTTAATTTTTCCAAAGCCTATAACCTTACCTTTTCACAGAAAATTGTAGTGTTTGGAAATAGTTTGATTTTTTGAAACAGAGCTCAAAACAGGGTCTAATTATGATAAAAAGCTTTTAAAGGTAGCAATTTATTTAATTGTCAATTATATCAGCCAAACCTTTTTCGTTAAAAATTTGGAATTTTTATCAAACCTATAACCTTACTTTTTGTTCAAAGTAAACATCGTTTAAAGTTCAAAAAATAGTCGATTAAAGGTAAAAATAATTAAAAATGTATTAATGTGTTTAGAAAAGGATGCTGTCCCCGGCTAATATCTACTTTGAGTGGAACATTTTGCTTAAAAGTTTTTTAATTTTTCCAAAGCCTATAACCTTACCTTTTCACAGAAAATTGTAGTGTTTGGAAATAGTTGGATTTTTTGAAACAGAGCTCAAAACAGGCTCTAATTATGATAAAATCCTTTAAACGTAGCAATTTATTTAATCGTCAATGATATCAGCCAAACCTTTTTCGTTTAAAATTTTATCAAACCTATTACCTTACTTTTTGTTCAAAGTAATCATCATTTCAAGTTCAAAAAATAGTCTATTGAAGGTAGAAATAATTAAAAATGTATTAATGTGTTTAGAGAAGGATGCTGTCTCTGGCTAATCTCTATTTTGATTGCAACATTTTCCTGAAAAGTTTTTTCATTTTTCCAAAACCTATAACCTTACCTTTTTACAGAAAATTGTAGTGTTTAGAAATAGTTGGATTTTTTTAACCAGAGCTCAAAACAGGCTCTAATTATGATAAAATCCTTTAAACGTAACAATTTATTTAATTGTCAATTATATCAGCCAAACCTTTTCAAAAATTTCAAAAATTTTAAAAATGGTTATTTGAATGTTAAAAATAGTTTAAAATGTGTTAATGTGTTTAGAAAAGGACGTCGTCCCTAGGTAAGGTTATAGGCTAAGGTTATAAAATCTGATCTCCATTCTGAGTGTAATATTTTCCATAAATGTTTTGTCTTGAAAGGTCACGATGTTTTAAAATGGTTCAAGTTTGCTCTGTAGAGGCATATTTCCAGTCAATTATAATAAACATTGTAGTCTGTGTTTTAAGCTAAAACTGTAAGTGCAAATTGCCTTTAACCAAGACTATAGATCTCTTTGATGTGAAATCACATCGATTTACAATGGTAAAAGCTAAGAAAATTGAACAAAAATATGGTCTAAATGCGAAGAAAAATTGAAAAGCACTTATATTGCCATTTGGCTGTGTAACTTCGTAATTCCTTTGAGAATAAAAATAGCTTGTCAACCATTAGAATAGCCTTACTCTTTCTTGGACAAATAGTTCTGAAAAAGTGTCAGAACGGTGGAACATAGCTAAATTTCGCTTCAATATGACGTAACCATTGAAAACACTTAGAGGAATGGATTACCTTGTATGGGGAACACACATATTTCATTGTAAACTTTTGTAAGAAGCCTTTGCCAATTGGAGAAAGAGCTATGCATTTTGAAATTGTTCAAAATTTTTTACACAAAGATAACAGTTTGGCCGAATCATGATAAAGATTTAAAAGTACTTGAATACTGCATTCAAGCAAAGATTTATTGAGAGTGGCAAAATTGAATTAATCAAGCCTGTAGCATTTATCAACTCTACAGCATACAGTCTACATCACAAGAAATTAAATTATTGGACAATGTTGGAGATCAATGAAGGTGAGAAAACAGTTGTTATCAAATGTGATAAAATCTAATTGACACTATTTAATGTTTTATTAATTTGACTTGTCAGCAAAAATAGATAGAATGTAAAGAATTCGATCTTTCCATAGAGTTTATAGCTGCAAATTATAAAATTTTTAGAATAATTGGAAAAGTCCATTTGGTTTGAAAATGCTGCAAATCAGTAAAATAGTGTAAATAGTTGCTTTTAAATGCGATAAATTTCACCATCAGTCTGTGTTGTAAGCCTGGACATTTTTTTTAACCAACCATTAAGCTTTACTCTATGCAAAAAAATATTTCTGTTGAAGCTGGTCCAGATAAAAAGACAAAGCTTCCTAATGGTTCTGGAAATGGTAGAGCACTTTTTATTGAAAGGAAAAGTAGAATTTAGGAAAAACGACCTGTACTATTCCTACTGTTCTTGCTTTCTTCTGACAACCAAGAGATGTTCCAAGATTGGCTGGTTGGTCACAAGCTTTTTGGTTTTGATTTTTGGTATAGTTTTGATATATTTTGATAACCGTTCCTGTTTGTTGGAAGGTATGAAGCATTTCATGACATAAAACTAAGGTAAGATACGTACTTAAAAAGCTCCAAGAAAATGTTAGAAACGTCTTATTTTGTTATAAAAATAGCTAGTAATATAGCTAGTTATAAAAATAAAAATACATACAATCAGTGGCGGACACTTGGGGGGGGGGGCGAGGGGGGGCGACGGCCTCCCAATACTTTACAGGACAATGGTCTTTTGTTCGAAAACAATGGGAAACATGACGTCATCTTATTAAAACAATAGGCTTGCCCCCCCCCCAATAATTGACCAAGTGTCCGCCCCTGCATACAATATGACTCGATACAAAACAAATTGTTTTACATTTAGTTTTCCAGTATAATTCAAAATTCATACTCCAAAAAGCATTCGAAGATCTTGTAAAGTCAAGCTTTTGGCGGCATCCTTGGAACTAGAGGAGAAAAAAAATTAAATTAGATGCTTTTTTAATAGAATTGCTCGCTCTCTTTCTCTTATGTTTGTAAACGCTGAACCAATCATTTCCTTCACAGGCAGGCTAAAGAAAATATCACCTTTCATGTTTTCGTTAATTTTCAAATAAAACTCTTTTATTCTTCAGTCAACTCGCAGTTTTTATACGCGTTGTTTCATTGCACTATTTATGAGCCACTCGTTTCGGCCAAGTTTTCTAGGTGACGATGTCGAGTGAAACGCGGTGCCGCCATCATATTTCAATTAAAAAATCTGAATATCTCCAATTATAGCACTGCAAATCTTACTCGTTGATAAAAATAAAATCGTAGAAAAACTCACCCCTTCAAGACACTATCTGCGAGAGCCTTTTTCTTCTCTTGCAGAGCTGCAATTTTCTCCTCTATGGTATCGACACAGAGAAACCTGCAAGCATAAAGCACACATACCTCTAGTTGAACGATTGGATTTTTCACTAAAGATTACATATACGTTAGGAGGAATAAAATGGTGCACATTCACCATAACTAAATAATTATAGCGTTATAAACCAATGATGCAGTCACTTGGCAAAATTAGCGCTTTAATTTATTGGCTAGAAAATTGTATTGATTCATGGCTGTTGTTGTCTATGCAACTTAAGGGTGTGATTTCCCAAAAAAGACAACGGAATTGTTTTTAGGGTCAAAGACATGACAACGGCATGCAAAACGTTTCTGGTACTTTTGATAGCATAATCTCGGAAAATTTTATGTATAGGCCATCGCAAGGATGAGCAGTCATCACCCTAGCTGTATTGAATTAACGCTCATAAGACTATAAGCTGCTGAGTGTTCCTCGTTTTGAGAAAACAATTCCTGCCTTAAATGATTACAAGTTGAAATGCATAGGTTTGGCAACATTGGCTGTTTTAGACAGTGCTATAAACATGGTAGAGCATTTTAATCATTTTAAATTGTAAACATAAAAGTGAAAAACTTCAATAACCATAAGCAGTCCTCTTACCTGTGTATAACAACATCATTTTTCTGTCCAACGCGATAAATCCTGTCGCTAGCCTGTGCTTCCAATGCTGGATTCCTGTGTTGGTGAAAAAAGTAATGTCACATCAGCTAACAATGTGCATCAGAAATAAAACCTGTTATCTATAATCGTGTTTAGATTTTATCCTGCAGATTTGAAATACATCACTTCTATGTCAAGCTCTGTCTCTTGGTTGGGCAGAATCTATGGTGGGTATTGTTGTTGAGTGACGGTTTTAGCAGATCAAGGTTGGAGTTATCTTGTACGAGAGGGGGGCAAGAAAAACAACAGCAAACGTCTATATAACAATAAAGCTCTAAGTCTCGAAATCAGATCAAATGCATAATGGCTTTAGCTGAACATAACTAAATACAACTTGAAAAAATCATAAAGAAAGGAATCAAAACTTTTACACTACAAAATAAGTTAGTTTCAAATGGTAATAATTAAAAAAAATTAAAAACTAACTGTTTAGAATGATGTAGAAAGAATGAAGATAAAATTTTCTCCAAATTTACTTTATGCATCGAAGAGAAAGGGAGCAGCAGGTAACAAAATAAAGGCATTTGGAATGAGACATGTGGGATTGTTGCAAATGAAAAGTCTATTCATATAAAATGTAAAATATTAAAACGATTTTTCAAACTGGGTCAGGAACCTGTCTTTGTTGTTGTGATTTTTCACAACTGAATTTACTCTCACGTCTTGGTGCAAATTCCTTTATGTTTGTCAGACGCCCATCTGCTGTTACGTGAAAATGGTCAAAAGCGGGGAAAATTGACTTGTGAATGGTCAGTACCGTCGAGTTGCAATGCAAAGTATCTGGTTGATCGTTTGGATTTACTCTGAACGGACCAGAATATAACTGAAAATATTGCAAGTCTATCTGTTTTGATTTGCACAAATTAATGCAGATTCTTGATCGATTTTTACCGATTTTCTTACATGAATCAGGACTGAAAGCGTGATCAAGCATAGGTGGGGACTTTTAAGACTGAATCATGATGCGATTAGGGTTATATTCCAACTCACCAGTGTTGATCAATCAAAAACAAATGGCTTCCACCGATCAAGTTTAATCCAACACCACCCGCTTTCAGTGACACTAACATGATCTGCAAAACAACAGCCACGCTGTGAGAATAACTGCTGAACAACAAAAATCCGATTACCCTATGAAGAAACATCACATAGTGCTCAATCATATGATGTTATGACTAACGTATTAGAGAAAGAGATCAACGATTTTCCAAATGTAATTCTAGAAATAAAGATAAGAAGACATGGATTCGTTCATTGCTAGCTAACAAACAAGTGGTTGCAGAATCCGTACAATTACACATAGTGCGCATGTATTACGAATCTAATGCTATACAACTACTCAGGCTTCACGTACATACTTTGTACTTCACGTAGAACTGGAATAAATTAGCATGCTTTATTTCTCTTATGTTCTGCATTTGAAAATGCAGTGGCAATTGGCGTAAACTTGGTCTACTGTTCCGATAAAAAACATCTTCCATTGATAATTCTCTGTAGTGTGATGATATGACTCTCCAGTAACATGCTCTGGACAACCCTTAGTTTTGCTGTTCTGCGTGAACCCATCCATGTCGACGGCATTTTTGAATAGAGGGTTTTTAAAAGTTACAGAATTTCGTAACTAATTTCTCTTGCCTGTACTCCATATGGATTGCTATTAAATTCTTCGACAATTTCACTGCGTTTCTTCAAAGAGACACTGCGAAACGAAAACACGGGTAAGAAATGCTGAAAGCAGATAAACAAGATTGAGAAATGTCAATTTGTTTTATGAACTAAAGGTTTTCAGGCAAACTGTCGTAGATCCCATCAATCTTAAACAATATCTGCTACTTTATGGAGAAATGAAAAAGTGAGACATTCCCCCTTTGAAAGAAAAAGGCATGTACAATTCTAACAGTTTGGAATCATTTTAATAAAAATTTTATCAAAATTTGAGGTGGTAAAAGAGACTATATAGATAAAAGCTACCAATCAAGCAGTTGCGTGTTAAAGATAGAAAAGTTATGATCACTTTGGCAATGCCTAGAAATTCCCATCTCACAGAGAATTAGGCCCAGCAACTTTAAACTACTAATCTTTAACCAAATAACCACGTTTTAGTGTTGCTACATGCATACAAACCTCCCAGTTATAAAATCATATTTCAATCCATGTTTACGCAAATGGTAGGCAATAACATCTAGCATTCGCGTCCATTGTGAGACAATAACGCTAAAACACAACATAAATGTATCTGTAGTTTGTTTTTAGTCACGTTTACTTTATCTACAACAGTTAAACGACAGTAAGTGTACTAAGAGGGTTAAAGGCAACATGTCCTGCAATGAATTTAGGGGATCGACTAAATTCGTATTGGTTGCATTATAATATAAGCAAGTGTTCTCTTCATGTTTTAAAATTTCAAATCGCATTTTCTTAACAAGGTCTCGATTGTAAATGTTTCACTGAGCCAATTATTAACGCCAACAGAGGCCTGACTGGTAGCAGAACACTTTTGGTTGGAAACATACAACAAAAGCTTCCAAAATATCTGATTTAAGTAAAACTGCCATACTGGGACATCCATGAGACCAGTTGTACTGTTAGATTTAAGGAAGTATTTTTTGTCTCGAGGGTCTGTTCTTTGAGAGTTCATTGCGTCCAACAACAACTGAATCGAAAATTGCTTAGCAGTCTGATAATAGTTAAAATCAGGAATCTAAAGCAGCAACACACCATAACACTTGACAAAGATCACTGCAAGATTTGTGAAATGCCTAAATGTTTTCGTTGTTTGTTCTCCCGAGTTCCTATGAGTTCCACTTAACATTTCCACGAAAACACATTTACAAAATTATCACAGCAGCATCGATACTTTTGTTCTGGTAATATCAGTACTGGAATTTATGATTTTCTTCACAAAAATTTGTCTATGCTGACAACTTAAGATGAAATGAAAATAATTTTGTATAAGAAAAATAAAACTGGAGATGCAACGAGTCTTTGAATCGGCCAACATCTGAATAAAAAATGAGTCAAACTTGGAATAAGTAGAAATGAAGTCCTTTTAAGTAACGTTTGCTGTATCTATTAGATGTTAAATCGTTTTGTTGGCAAGTTACCTCTTAATCGGCTTCCTATCGGAAGAAAGATGTTTAAGCTTGTGAAGCTCTTGAAGGAGACAATGAATCTGCAAAAAAATTGAACGTCAATCTTTTTTGTCAGCAGAACACTCTGCACCAGCAAAGGTATAAAGTCTTATCTGAATAATCTGTACATAATTTAGGTTGATTACCCAAATGAATTTTAGCTTCTAGGTTTCACGGAATGATGTTTACAAAACAAATGGGAAAAAATATTTTTAACAGCCATTTCATACTTCAAATACTTTTAAAAACAATTCTAAAGAATCATATAATGGAACTAAAATAAAAATTAAAAGACTTACCTTTGAGCTTACAAATGATTCTTTGAACTCACTAGGACTCCAATGATCCTAAAAAATGATGATTTAAGATATAAATGTATTTCAAAATAAACTCACTTATTCGTGTGAGCTTCAAAGACACATTTCTTCATCTCCTTTATACCTTGCTGCCTTTCAGACAAACACACTGTAAGGCCAAATATGCTTCAAAGTTATGTAGCAAGATATGTATGTGAACTTTATACTGTTATTTAAGCGAGTATCAACAGAATGTCAATTATTGCTACTACTGCTGAACTTTTAGATGGAGCTCCATTGAAACAGACTTTACTGATAATTCGTAAGGGTAAATTTTGTAATAATAAACACAGGGATACTGCTATAAAAGAGGAACAGGAAGTTGAAATTGAGTTAATTAAATTTGTCGTTGTTGTTGGCAAGAATACATTGGCAAGAATACATGTCAACTGTTTGCCAGTCTCTCTTACAGTAGCCGATGTCGCATAGACAAGCATTCAAAAATATTGGTGCATAAAACAGGGTAGTTCTTAGCTATGCAGAACATATAACAAACAGATTTGAGGGTACTAAGATATGCAAACCTCAGTAGAAGAAGAATCGACGATTGACATATTCATCATTTGGTCTTCAAGTGAAATATCAATTCCATTAGCTTTGCATTCTGTGTCGTCTGGTACCTTTTCAGAAAATATAATATTTTGAAAACCATAGATGTCGAATATAACAATTCACTCAAGTCCTGTCGTTGATTCTGCTACTACGGGACTTGAGTGAATAGAAACTGCAAAAAAACGTGTTGCAGCTGAATACGAAGTCTAGTCTGAATACAAAACAAATTATAAATACTACAACTACTGACTGCTGAAATCCTAAGAAAACCAATAAAGTTATTTTGAAGTTTGAATGATCTCAGGACCCTAATGATAACAGTACATATTGTACTGATAGGTTTTTCCTGTTAAAACATTCGATTATCATTATTATTATTATTATCATCTTAAGGACGGGTATTCTTCAAATACATTAAGCATCAGAAGAAAAACAAATTTATTAGAAAAGATATAGTTTTGCTGACTGTGAAAGCAATGGTTCGCAAATAAGAAATCTGTTTTGTTTTTATGTCACAATGATTTTCGTTCATAGCGCGTAATCATTACGCAAATGTAAAAAAATAAAGTTTGGATGGCCCTACAAGCGAAAGATTTTCTGTAAATTGAATTGTGATCAGTTACAATACATCTTGCAAGGTTTAGCACAAGCTAACGTGTTAAAAAATTCGGTACAGCAATAAGAATGAGTGGCTAATCATTGCGTGCCAGTAAAGACGTAGAAACATACAATTGTCGCGGTGGAAATTCTTTAAAATTGCTCTGCACCGTATTTGAAAAGGAAACTCACAATCGAAACACAACAAGTGGAAAACCTGTTGCACGTACGGTTGCCACTAATATAGTTTAAGCCATGACCAAAGCAATAAAAGTATAATAATCTTGCTCGAAGTAAGAAAAATTATTTGAGATTAAAAAGATTATATGAGCTTTGCAAGCACCGAAGCAGCTCAGCCTGAAGACTAGCTACATTTAAGCGCTAAGAGAAGACACGTCGTTCTTGAGCAGCAACTCAGATTGGCCATTTTTAATAAATAAGACGTCAGCTTAAATGCTGTCCCTTTTATTCCAAATTACCTTAAGGCAGACAACGCTTGCGACAAAGTTATTTTTAAAATAGTTATAAGTACCCTAGATCAAGAAGATCGTGAAGGAAGGACAAGGCTTCAATATTCTTTTCTTTGAAAGGCGATCGCATTTTCTTAAAACAAGGTTAGAAAGTATCCGAAATTCGTAACAGGTATAGCCAAAGTTAAACCACAGTGAAAGCTTTTTCAGCAGCAATTATTTTCACTATTTATACTGTACTGCCTGCCTTGAAATGTATCATACATAACAAAATAGCAGTTGTTACAATGCATATTACTCATTATTCACTCCGTATCATTCACTTCGTATTCCATATTAACGTTATGTTAGGCTTATGTGAAGACAGTGTTTCGAGCAGGCTGAACCAGAGTTACCTACAACACTTTGTTTGCTATCAAATATAAATATTGGGCTAGGGTCAATACCTTAAATAATCCTAATATTTAAAGAAACAGGATAGTATAAGCAGTGGATTCAGTGAACTGATTCGAGTTTCATAAAAATTGGCTCGAATGACGTTGTTTTCGTCGAAATTCAACGCAGTGGTGATACTAGCAAAGTCTCTTTATTCTTTACGCTTCTGTAAATGCCCCATTTTACTAGCCAAAATTTGTGAAATATCTCATGTGCATAAAATATGTAACGATTAACACAACAAAATTACCTGCAGAAGCAGACTCAAATGGCTGCAGCATTGTCGAAGCCTTAAAACCAGGAGCAGGATTGTTCCAGCGTTGATATCCTGCTTTAGAATACCAATCATATCTAAAAATTCATGCAATTCTTTCCCGAAGATAAATTTTTTGCCACTTAAAGTATCCTGTTTGTCATCCCTTGCTGCATAAGATTGGCTTGCAATACCTCTGTTTCTCGTCTCTTCACCTTTATTGTCTAGATACGTTTTCAGCATATTTCTGAAATAAATTGTAAACATACAATCACAGATGGAATCATACATTTTTTCATTGATTTTCCCAGTTTCAAATAGTCATTCTTTGTACTTTGAAATGTCAAACTACAATCAAATGACGACCACCATGCTAATTTAAAAACAAATTGGGTTCACAACGCATTTTTTTAAATCTAAAAACCAATTAAAAAAATAACATGTTTTTCCACTGTGGAGCCTCATATAATCTTGTGGTTTATAGCTGACTGTATTCCTGCGAATGGAATCATGTTTGTAAAATTTGTGAAGTTGCAAATAACACTCTTCTAGATTTTTCCGTTAGCAAAAACAATGTTCTAGACAGAATCAAACGAAGTTTTTTATGAGCAAAGAAACAAGATTTAAAATATGGTGAAAACCTAAAAGTTTCTGCAACTTTAGACTGATCGAATGATTTCCGTTGTGAATAATCAATTAGGTAGAAATCTGTCTCTGAAACTTTCCTTTGGGAACAAACAATATATTTAATTTAAACGAAACTTCACAACTACGGCAGCAATTTTTGTCAATTGTTGAGGATCACTTTTGCAGATGAAAAAAATACTTCCACAAAAATTAATCTCACAAAAAATGAAAAGCAAAATAAACCTTGAGGAATTAACTCATTCCTGTTCAATTGGTTTTAAAAAAAGTTGTAACAAAAAGAAATTAAAAATAATAAAAATTGAAGGCTCGTTATCCGCTTCAATCAAAGAGCATTTTTATTAAAAAATCTGTATTCTACAGCCTTCAGCCGGGTCCTTTGTAGCAAAGTTTCATTGGAAAACGTTTTATCCATGGTGATTTTACTTTCGTTATCAGCGAAAATGGCCGTAGCATCCTTACTTTGAGTACAACTGTAATAGGTCATATACTTCTTTCTCGTTGTTGCACAATGAAATATTGTGAATGACCGAATCTCTTGTTGGAAGACAGGTCTGCAAAGGAAAAACACAGTCAATAACACAAGGTGAAGGTATAAAATTGCATCATCAAAATACAAAATTGCATCGACATTGAATTAACATTGCAATTTATTTAGACACTTCTTAATTTGTAATTTATATGGTGAAAGCTAAGCGGAATTGACACATTCTAATAATAAATAACATAAGTGAATAACAAACGAGCTATTTAGCATAGGCCACTACATCAAGGCTAAGAAATCAGTTGGGTCGGTCACGTTTTTCGAATGAATGAGAATAGGTCAGCTTTAAACTAAAGAACAACAGCGAAAGATAGAGGAACAGAGGAGGAGAGCGTCCCAAGACATGATAGAGGGAAAGAAAGGAACTTGTGGAAGATTCAAACAAGGACTCCACTTCTATAAGTGAATTTTAGCCTAGAATAAATTATGCCGATGATCAGAAACCTTACGAGAACATCATAAAGAAGATTTTTATCTAGTTATTGGAAGTACTTTTTTATCTTTTTATCAAGTATCATAACAATTAAGCATCGAAAGATGAAAAGATATCAGATAAAGTAAAAACAGTAAGGAGGTAAAATTAAATAACCAGATGTTGCTGTTTTGTTCGTCTAAGCAAAAGACTTCTGACTATCGTGTTCATCCTTGCAGTCCCCCTGGTACTTTTGTCGTCGACCCATTTTGTCCATACTTTGAATTCATCAAAAGGAGAACATCGCAAGAACTTGATTATTGCATAAAGGTCCTTGGTATTATTCTGTATTGGTGTCCCAGTTAAGGCCCATCTGCTTTCTATAGAAGAATATAAAAATTTGAACAATTTTTTTGCGGTACAGAATTTGAAAATGGCTTTGAAAAAAGCAAACATTTTACGACATACTAAAAGCTTTTAAGCTTTTAATATGTTTTTCCAAGTATTTCCAAGTCTGGTGTTAGACAAAGTCCAACCATTACGTTCCTACAATACGTAAACATTTTACAACATGTTGGCTAAAAGCTTTTTCGTCTGACACTCCTCAGAGCATATAACATCAGAATAAGGGTCCGAAAGAGGACGGTGAAAAATATTTACCCAGTTGTGGATCGAAAAAGGCAAATCAGATAAACGCAAACACAAGACCGGTATAGTTGACCAATCAGTGCCGCGTGCCTTAAGAAAAATTACCACTGGAGTCAAAGAGAGAAAGCGAACTCCTTCTGTCTACACAATGGCGGCAAAAAATGATATATTTTTTTTATCTCCTCTGTTTTGTTAGAAACTTATCAATTTTCGTCGCCCTCTAGATCAAGGGGCAATTAATATCTTTAAATACTTTTTCTGGGAAAAATATAATATTTGTCCAAACTTCCTTTAAATAAAAATCATGAAAATACAGTGTTGCTGACTTGACGTTTGCAAAACAATTACTAAATTTCAATAGCAGGAAATTTCTAGGCAGATTTTGAAAACAGTTTATCTTAGCTTGTCTACAATCTTAGATCTTTCGTTTCGCATAGGACAACCTGCTCTAGTTTATATTGGTTAAAAAAAACTCCTGCAGCTCTGGACTCTTTCCAAGACTTTCTAGGAATGCTGCTCTTTCCTTCCCATACTTAACCAGCATCTGCTCTACGTACTGTTCATGCATAAATTAACTCACCTGCTTCTAAACAACATGCTGCCATTGATGTCATACACTTTGGGTTCTTTATTGTATGGGCCTCATCAAGAATAATCCTTCTCCAATGAACCTGACAAAGAGGAGAATCTCTGCGCTTGCATCTGTCTGTCGCAGGTGGTGGACCTTTCGTAGTTAACCAAGCATCGCTTTTCTGTAAACCAAGAAAAACCTTTAATAATGATCTTCCATGATACAGTGTAAAAAACATTGAAAATAAAAAGTCACATTGTGTTCTAAAATGGTATTCTTTTTATCTAGCCTTAACTCCAGATACTTTAGGTTTAGAATGCTGTTTGATACCATTTTACAACAATGAAACTAATACAACAATTTATAGGTGCGACACTTAATACAATAGTGTATATAGTTAATTACCATAGCAAATAGTAAATGTCAAATAGTAAATGGCAAATAGTATAGCTAAGAGATTGCAACTATCTATTTTTTCATAAATCATTCATTCTTGGTATATATAACCAATTATTTCTTTATTAGTGAGGATCCAGGCATTACCTCCGTTTGTAGCGCAATGCGGATTCTATCTGAAGACTAGATTTTAAATTTACGTTTGAAAATCATTTAATTTTGTTTATTTTAATGCCTGCATAATAGCTACCCAAATTTTTCTCTATTTGTACTTTTTTAATTGCATATTAGCAAATTTCAATATTCTGATTGAACATTTTCTCACCAGTTAGGTGGTTAGTATTATAACTAAGCCCATATTCCAGAACAATTTAGGCGTTCATGAAAAAAGAAGAATGTTCAGTCACAAAAACAGAAAATGATTTCGAAGTGGTAGTAAACTTGCTTAAACTTTATAAATGTAGCTGAAACTTTCATAAAACTGGTGACACATAATTACGGTTTTTTAGAACGTGACCCTTTCTTCTTTTATCTTCCCCGCAGGAAATTTATGCAGGAAGGAAAAAAATTTTTCATGTCCTGTGCATCAATAAAATCTTTTAAGATAAGTATTTGTATCGATCCGAGTTGTCTATAATCGTGTTTCCATCGGTATTGTGAAATCAAGTAGGCTCGTTGGTTTGTTAACATTTGGGAAAAGCAAATTGTTCTTGATTTGTTAACATTTGGCATTAATATGCGACACAAAAGCGTCAGATAGACAGACACCTATAGTGCTAAGGATAGCCTTCATCAAACGACAAGAACCTGCAGGCATCAACGACCTACCTGTCTTCAACAAACTGGCTCGGTTTACATTTCAAATAAAAAAGTAAATGCAGTTGACTTTTGAAGCTGGTTTTTTTCATTGTCCTTCTAACCTAATAACGAAACCCTTTTATTTTCTCTCATGAATGTACAATATTTTTTTCGTAAAAAACTGCTCTGCTAAAATTTAGGGCGATTATCTATGACATATCAAATAAAGCACAGGACAGAGGCATAGCAGGGAGCAGGATAAAATGCAGTTTGTAAATAGAGTACTAAAGTGTGACGTCATCAAAAATCTATTATCATTTAAGTTGGACCTATTATTCTAAAAGAAAAGCATCAAATACCTCTCATCGTGCAAAATCAGTCAAATATTTTCAAAATTGAGTGAGATATGGCCAGTAAACGATTTACTGTAATTCTTGCCTGGCTTATAAAGTTATTCTGGCCTGGTTCATGAAGTTTTGAACCAAGTTCAAATTACAGAGGTTTGATGTGGAAAGAACCTATGCTCTTGTTGCCATGTCTCAGCCAATTCGTGACACATACAACTGTTATAGGGTCTAAATTTCAAAAGTAGATTTTCCTGAGAACTCTTTAAGAACCCTTTCTGCTTAGACTGTTCCAGCTATTACACAGGAATAGTAAGTGGTTAGTAAGCACAGAACTATTACTGAATTATTTAAAGCCAGCGATCTGCAACGACTTATACATGGACTTGACAGGATTTTGTTTCTAATTTCAACGGTATTCGACATAGTTACATTGCAACAGAACATAAGACCAAGGCTGACAAAGGACAGCAAGTAGACTTGGCCCTAGATAAACTGTTTGCAACCGGTTTTAACTTCTAAATCTAAAGCACGACCTCAAGTCGGAAAATTCACATCTGCATTTCGCCTAGAGAAACAGCTTTTATGTTCAAACAGGTTTATCAGATAGCAGTGTAACTTTATTAGACCAGTCAGTTTGATAATGTTTAAAAATATTACGATTTATCCAGCAAAATCCACAACATATTAGACCTGTCACATAACACCACGAAAGTGTCATCCTAGGGCAAACTGAAATATTTCTTGCAGATTCAACGCATTGAATTTCAAGCCACTATGATAAACCACGTCATAGTGCTAGACCGCTAGACTTACATCAAACGTAAGAGAAAAGACGGTATGTTTCATGGTGAAATTTGATTCAAGCTGAAAACCTCAACAAGGCAGAGCCTCAATTTATCAAAATGGTAGATAATTATTGTTTACGCTTACGCTGTAGAAAGTGAATTCTAAGGATCTCTGGCAGTCTTTTAACAAATTTCAAATAAAATGTTCAAGTTGTACTGTAAGACTGAATCATGTACTTCAACATAGTTAAAGAGAGAGCGAGTGAGAGCGTAGAGGGGGTGTGAGAAAGAGCGATTCTGAAATCAAGAGAGTAAGATGAAACATTGCTGCATATTCTGCTGATTCTTAACTATATAGAGATACTATACAACTTTTACCTTCTTTTTTAAAGAGCTGCTATCAACTAAATCCTTTGCTTCCCTTTCAACTATGCTGTATGTCGTTAGAACAACATCATATCGTGCGAGCCTGTAAAACGGATCGTTCAGATATTTTAAATCTTTCAAACAGATAGGCTAGAAAATTAGTTGATCGTTTCATTTGAAACGCTTCAAATCATGAAAAATGTTTCATTTCTATCTTGAAAAGAAACGCTACCAATAGCAAAACCACCACAGTCCCAGACTTTCTGTGGTGCTGGTCTTGTGGCTCCGTTTACATGGATGGCTGGCCTGGATGTTCATGCAATTAACCATCCTTCATTAATTTCATACCTGTCCGCACTTTTCTCTCTGGTTGGACCATGATACAAGCAAACAGTGATCTTCAGGGGTTTCACTCTTTTGTCAATTTCTTTTTTCCAGTGATGCACCAATGACGCTGGGCAAACAACCAGAGTTCCACTCGCATCTCTTAAAGATGGCGATACAGTTGCTGTATGAGCGTAGAAAAAATGTTTCAAAAAGAAAACTGGTTTTCATATAGACTTTTAGAAAAACATGAGCTACTGAATGCAGAAAAAATTTTAAATTTTAAAAGTTGTCCACTTCATTTGCTACAAACTAAACATCAAATCGAGACTTGGCATAGCAGCCATTGGCAGTAAATAACATAATTACAAGGAATTTTACCACTGTAATTAAAAGATCTAGATAATTAACCACCAGACGTTTGTGGTCTGATGTGCTGTAGCATCTTTATGAATTTTTTTCCATTCATAGGGGTTATGGCATGTCATTTTCCAAAGCTTTGGTCTATGTAATGTCTTAGTTTAGAGTGCGTCAGCAGGAATAGAGTGTGTCATCAACAAGTGCATCGACTTCATAAGCTCAGATCAATAACTCATCAATTGCATTCAGCCTCAACCCAGATTTGGTCCTTATCAGCGTTTCTATCGTAATTTTACTGTATAAAAAGAACTTACATTTCTTTGTGAATCCGAGCTGTTTGTCCAAAAGGATAAGGGCGATTGACGTCAACGTTTTCCCCAAGCCCATGTCGTCCGCTGAAAGAAAACATAAATAGCTACTAGGAAAGTTCTGCGACGTTCACAAGTAGAGGTAGAAACACATACTTGATTTGAGATGGGCGGAACAGGGAAGATGGCTGGAATGGGTAGGCTTGGTATTTTTAAAATGGCAGTGCTCTATAAGATTAGGGAAGACACCGTTTAAATTGTAAATTTTTATCTAATTGCTTATTATCAGTGATTCAAAGGTTTCTCTGCAGAATGCGATACAACCAATTAAATGTCGAAGGTTATTACAAAACTTTCCCAAGCAAAACCCCAGAAAATGAAACTCGAAGAGCACAAAAGCTAAAATAGACATTTTTGTGATCCTTGGGAATTTATTCATTTGATAGTTTCCAGAACTTCATACTCAAATTATGAACCGATAACAGATTCTTCACTGAAGATAATTAAAATCCTCTTTTTATATTGCAAGAGAAACCACTTAAGCCACAAATGGTCTATAGAGATATATCGATGAGTCATAGGGATCTGTTTCATAAAGTCAACTCTATGTAATTCGAACTCCATTTTTTTCTCTTGAAATTTAAACGCTAGAAGACCTACTATTGACTGTACGGCTTGGGAGACGGCCAAGATTCCTTAAACGTAGTCGTCTTACCTCCAAAACAAAAACTGACGGACATGGCTTCAGGGGCGGATCTAGAAAGTATTCTGACTGTCGCACACAAGGGTGTGGTCAGAAATATCATTCGTGACCACACCCATAGTTTTTAAGGATATTTCTCATTTGAGCAGTCGACACGCACATTAAATTGGCTTCAATTTAGAACGTGGTCGAACTGTTGTTTATTCCTTATCTGAATTTTCAATTGATACCACAGAATTATTTGTGATGTTTCTTAGCCAAAGCGTAAAGCAAGAAACAACTAAAATTCTTAAGCGTATTGACACGGTTTTCCTTTCATAATCAAGCAAAAATTCGAGTCGTCTCTTTCGATTTGTTTATGGTATACGACGACAAAACAGGCCACACGCAAAAAATGAGAAATATCATTGCAATGAATTTTCAGAACTAACCAAATAGAACAAATTTACACAAATATTAATAAAAACCTGCATTAATAACTAATATTATTTAATAGCTAAACCAAATCAGCCTGTAAACATGTATTTTACTCTGAAAAAACCCCTTCGAATTCAGGGGAATACCCAAGCAAGTAAGCATTACCCGGAAATATCTGAAAGCTGATTAGGAACTGAAAATCCACATTGAATAGATTCACTTTGAAAGTTTTGTCCAAATAAAAATTTCACTCTGCCAACTTCCTGAACATTATTTCTTTGCCAGAGGCAATTCGCAGGTATCACCCCAGTCCAGTGCATTTATTGACATTAGTAGGCCCTCGATCTATGGAGGAGGTATTGAATATTGAAACTTGAAAACATCCCGTGTCGAATGTTACTCTGAAAATCAAGCGACCTTTGTCTACCAAATACCAGGTTTAACGTATTTGTTATTCATGTAGCCAGTCGACTCCATAACACAAAATTTCCTTTTCGCCAGTGAAAAATTTCCCCATGCCAGGCATAAATAAGCTAAAAACTGTACAAAGCACGCAATGAGGACGGATTATTCTTTGCCCAGTGGTGCGACCTTACTGAAAAGCATACTGTGCACCGAAGTTCGCACTATCTAGCCATTTGATTGGCTAAATATTTTAAAACAAAAGCTGTGCGAATTGGTGCGAACGTGCTACTAATCATACTGTGCACCGAAATACCCTAATCTAACTCTATTGGTACCCTGTTGTTTTTTAGTCAGGATGCTTTGAGATTTGAATCAGATTGAATCAAGATCGAGATAGAATTAGAGATGGTGTTTAAGATTTTGCTTGTGTTTATGGCATGATTCAGTCCTTGGATATTCCTGCTCCTGCACGGTGTTCAGTTGTCAAATATAACTGAAGCATAATTTTCGAGCAAATACATTTAAAACACAAATGGGAAATTTGCCAATAAGCGAGAAAGTTGTTGTTCAGGAAAAACCTTTTTCGAGACGGATTCTTAGTACAATTTTAAAAGTTTGACTGTCGCATGTGCGAACGGTGCGAACGTCTAGATCCGCCCCTGCATGGCTTAATAACAGCTAAAAGTTACAATAACATCAGCTATAGGAAAAATTAACAGAATGCTTATATCACTAGTTTGATAATAGGCTATACTGAAACGTTGTTCATACAATTTACATTTTCTTCGTATAACCTTATCATAAATTCAAATTATTGTTCTTCTCATGGTCCAGTTACGAAAAGTTCGAATTCAGGTTTATTGCCAGGATGTTGTTTTTGTAGGAGGATTTTTAAGAGACTTTGAGTTCAAATTACACGAGTTCCAATGACACAGAGTTGACTGAAACAAAATAGCTGCTAAAACCATGAATTTTTCATACCTTTCAGCAAGAAGTCTTTGTAAAAAAACTGCCAAGAAACATGAGTGACTGTGGCTTGTAATCTTACTCCCGATGGTATTCATTGATACCTTTGTCTTACCAAAGCAAAAGAGCCGGTTTCAGAGCCTGCTCAAATGTGGATAAATTCCTACTAACATTTCAACATTAATATTCCTACTAATAATCTACCTGAGAGAAATTCTAAAATACACCAGGTAGAATGCCAGTGAAAGTACGAAAAAATCTTGTGTATCTTGTGTATATGTGTATCTTCATTAACGTGCAATTTTATCAGGCTGCAAAATTTTTGCAAGCGTAGAGGCTTCCCTGAGTTTGTTAAAACATCCCTTTCTTTCTAGATTCAACAACGGCAAAAGTACTTCTATAAAAACTGTGTCAAAGATGACTTACCAAGAATACCACCTGACGGTGTTTGCTTCTCTCTCCACAGCAGCCAAGCAAGAGCCTGTCTCTGATGAGGCAGCAACGTCACTAGCAAACCATTTGGATCATCATGCTCAGTTGTTGCGGATGGACATGTTTCTAAAGAGCTTCAAACGAATAAAAATATCCATATGGTGAAAAAGACAAAGCAAATTAATCAATAAAAATTCAGAGCCAGAAGGAGCAAGTATATATCATCGATCCTTCTCGGTGTCAAGTCAAAAAGTTATTTGCTTAATTGGACAATAAAATATTGTTAGAATACACGATTTACAAAAGGCTATGATTGATATTCTGTATCACTTTGTATACTGAAGTATAAATAATTTTAGGATTTTACTAAACTTTTAAACCAAAAGCTAGATTCTTCGTGATATATAGAATGATATGAATTTGGGTTAATTTATTGATTTGTTCCGATTTTAGTACTACTGTCTTTTGTCTGACTGCAAAGAAAAAGTACCGCTAACAGGAAATAGCGTTAAAAATGTGCACACTTAAGGATATTATTCAAGAAGGATCCATTCGACTGATGACGTCACATGTTACAAAATTCAGGCTTTCAATGACTACATAACGGCTCAGGTTTAATTCATGCACCGTTTGAAACTCGTTAGATGCGCTTGTTGTCCGTTAACGAGACATACATCGAGCATCAAAGGACGGATTTGTAGTGCGAGGGTGTGAGTAATGAGAGACTGGAACGAGAGTTGTTGCTGTTGTGATTAGTGAGTGAGAGAGAAGAGACAGAAGTTGAAGCGGAGATATGGTTGGATAGGTAGCAGAAGGCGTTATAAAGTTCAGTAGGAGAATATCCAAGAAGAAGTGATACTGAATTATCGTTTATACTTGTTTTCGTTCTTGCATGCTTCATTACAGTAGCCTCGCATTTTCACAGGCTGATGCAAATATACAGCAACACTAAACATGTTTCGGGATGTGAAAGGATTTCCATTTGTTCGAGCATTTTAGACCTGAGAGTTTCGATTATTGAAGCGTAGACTACGATAAAGCCACCTTGATTAAGTTCAGGACGAATTGCACTGCACGCGTTTTCAAAATAATACCTTAATGTTTCAGCCTCTGATTCCTAAAATAAATTTCCCTTTTAAGAACTAAAGATATTCCTAGGTTATTCTCAAACAACTTTATCAGTAAATTCTCTTACGTTGTGGAAAAGCGAAAGAAATTGAGAGGAACCAAATGTAAAATGTTCAAGTATCAATATAAACAAATTTTAACATTGTACAAAGAGAAACAGATAAATAAAGTTTGGGCCTGGTAATTATACATAATTAAATAAATTTTAGCAGATTTGAGCAAAACTTAGATTCTACCATTTATCATTCTGATTTTCCTGCTGTATTTTAATAGATTTCAATGATCCTATTTTGTGGTTTGCCAAATAAGGTTCTTGTTACTTAGGGCTAGTATTAACTTATCATATGACTGAAAATGAGATGAGTATACTTTAGCTTGAACAACAGTAATTAGATATTGTGGCAAGTGTATTCTTTCGATAATTTGATTGGAGTATGTCAACAATATGGCCATCGTTTGTCAATAAGTTATAAAATATCATCTGGTGTAGTTTCTCAGCAAACATCACTGCTTCGGTTAATTCTCCTCACGTTATTCAGTGGTTAAACTTGAAACTGTAAACTTAAGCTACGTTTACATGACACATCAACATGTACTGATTTCGGTTGCCAGTGTTAGCCTTTATATCGCGAGGACCGCCATATCTCTGCCAAACCAAAAAAAAATTAGTCAATACTTCAATTTTGTAAAATATGGCTGTTTTTACACTTATTTATCAGGGCTGGCCCTGTCAATCAGAAAGTTGTATCTCGGTCACAGAATGTGTCTCGGTCTTTGTTATAGCGTTTAAATGCTGAAATTTAAACGCAAGCTGTGTTCCACTCCCAATCCCAAACTGGCTGAGAATGCGAAAGCGGCTGAGATTATCATGTAAACGAAAAAAGTCGTTAGAGAAAGTTTCTTTGTCTTTACGGATTCCCCACTTTGTTACCTGATCTGTTATAGGTTTGTAGAAATAGGGTACCTGACCTGGAAATGGGTTTGTATGGATAAAGTGGATGGAAATGGACAGGGGCGTTGAAAGCTTGGGACAAGGGGGGGTTGCCTTATCTGTTTCAGGGCCCCATTTGAGGCCCCAATTAATTAATTTAAACTTTGTATTTTGAACATGTGCATGTTTCCTTGTATGGAACGTCACAATATCATTGTTCATAGAGAATGTGGCGAGATTATTGGTGTGAAAAATGTTTGTTTTTGTTATGATAACAGTTACATCAACGAAATTTTGAAAAATCAAACTTACGAATACACCTGATGGGTCTATTGCATGAGTTGTAATGGCAGGTATGTGACACTATGTATATCACTGAAAAGCCATTTGATTTTGACATGAAGTTGAATTGTTATATTTCCAATACGAGGAAATAGTTAGTCATTGTTGTCGTACTAGCCTCATACCAAAGAAGAAATAGATAAGAAAACATTGGCAAGCCGTGAATTGAATTGCTAGCACTGCCCCAGGGGCCTCTTTAAATATCTGGTAATCTAAAACCGTTATTTTGAAAGGTTAAGGTTTTACCAAGCAGTAGAACATTTTGTAGTTACTGTTGAACAGGGACCTCGTAGAAATGAAGAAGAAAGAATATAAAATTTCCACAATTGGAAATGTAACACTAAAATACCGCAACACAAACACATAAAATGCGGTAAGCTGTTCCCGCTTAGGTCCTTGCTCAGTGTGACCACAAGTTCACCGATGTGTTTGCCTAGCCTTGGGGAGACGAGTAAGAGAAAGTTGTTTAATGAGTGAGGCAACCCTTCATCCTGGATTCAAAGAGCATGAGCTCATTTTTTACAACACACTTTCAATATACACACTAGCATTCCACAAGATGAGGGTATCGAAGCTTCCCTCAATGCCATCAAAAATCATTATTGGGAAACTACCCTGCTGCGTATAAAATACAACAGGTGATTTTTATTCTCAAACATAATTAGATTACCTTTACACTCTCTTTTTATAAGAACACGAGCTTCAAAATTAGGTGCCAAAGTGGCTTAAATTGTATTCTGAGGGTGCTGCAATGCCAACTACATTTACAAAATTCTATCCAAAATATAAGAATATTAGATCAAGGAATGTTACGTCACACAGTAGAAAAAGTAGACTTATGCAAAGTAGGAAAGGAATCCGCCTGAGCAGTTGATCTGCTGATCAATTTGTAATCCAACTGCAATCAATTTGTAATCCAACTGCAATCGTTTTTTAGAATCCACAGTTTACCAACTAATGATGTTATGATTAACGTGACTAACTGCCTCAGCAAAGGCGCAAAATAAAACGATAAAATCATATATTTCAATCACAAACTGGGCTGGGCACCAAAGTGAACCTCTTACAACCTGTCCTTACTAAAGATCAAAATTTAAATAAGCTTAATCTCTCATTTCTCTATTCCTAATCCTTCTTTGCTTTCCCTTATTAGGGCTTAGCCACGGGTACTTGAGCTTTTGCGTCCATATTACCAGCTAAAAATAGACACAAGAAGGAACTCGAATTGAGAGCTAAACAAGGGGAAAAACCTAATTAGAACTTCTTTCAAAACTTTCATGTTTCTTAGTGTCTACCTTTCCTTGATTGCTTTAGATCCTCAACTCTACTGCAATATTCTTTTTTGGTCGCGTTTTCGAAAAGCACTGTAACTATACAAATAGGCCTACAAGTAAGGCATGTCGAACATAAGCAACAACTTGGTCACATAGCAATGTCCTAATTTCCAATAGAAATAATCATCATTATCTGAATTTTCGGCATGTTCATCACTGTTCTTTGATAATACTTTAATACAAGTGAAATAAAACATATAAACATAAATGGCAATCCAGAAGGACTTGTTAGATGTTGCAGAAGAGGAGAAGAGAGATAGGATGAGAGGAAAGGAAACCGACATTCAAACTTTGAACAGCAAAACCTTCTTTGTGCATTACATGAGAATGCCGCAGTACATAATGAAACATTCTAGACATCAGGATTATAACTTTCTAGGTCGATAGTCCAAACTTGATGATTGGGTGTAACAAATACGTTTTGAAAATTTGGAAATCATAGCCCTTTCAATAACTATCTGAATTTTTCAGATTAAGCTGATTTGGAAGAAATAGAGAAAGTATAAAATCTTGAGAATATTCGAGAGTATTTGAGATAACATACAATCTTTCTGAAAGTGAGGAAGATTAAAAGGAACAACAGAAATTACAACAAAAAAACTAACATCGCTACTGCCAATGCCCGGATCAAATAAACAAAAAACTGCATACCTGTGCAGTGTTTCTATTGCATCTTTTGTGATCTTCCCAACCTCCTTGAGTTTACTTTGTGTCATTTTGCCATCATAAAGCCTTTGAGTTTGAAAATGGTCGCCAACAGAACCTGGACCTTTGCTGGACACGAAAAAGAGTTCCGAATCTAGCTGGGCATTCACTGGACAACCGTCTTTGCCAGCGTGCAAAATATCCACTACAGCGTCATTTTTGTCAGTATCACAAGAATGATCACTAGGTACTGCAATTGAATTCGGTAGGTTTGCTGTAAATTCATATGCACTTTCTATTCTGTAAAATAATCTTGATAATGTCTGTATTACTTTTCAACGGCTATAACTATCACGATTGGAAGAGAAGAACATATAAGGTCGTTTTCTATAGTATGAGGGATAAAATATTTTCACACACAAATTGAATCAAAAAGATTACATGATATCACAAAGTGCACTCGGGTAACAGAGCTTCTCTGAATAATGTAGGTTATGAATGTAAGAACGACTTTTGTGTAAACAGAGCATAACTGGATACTTTCGCAAGCTTTGACAAAGATTCGAAATGGCTAAGTGTAAAGACATTTAATAAAATAGAGCTATATTACTTTGTGATTATGGGGAGCCAAGCATAACAAAAGATGGCGGGACCCTGGGGTGTATTCTAGGTTGCCTTATTGCTCCCTTCCCAAGACTTCATCTAAACCAGTATAATTAAGCAGTATAATACTGTTGTTTGTGGTCTTTTACGTAATTAATAGATCACAAAAGAGTGGCATAAGAGCTAGAATGCTCTGAAAAGTCGGTTTCAAAAGATGTAGTCATTCTTTTAGCCGTCTAAACGAAAAAATAAATATGCAGCTTTAAATTCCCGTCTGGAAAA